CTACTTCTTTCTACTCCTCCTCTTCTAATTCCTTTATATTGTCTAGTCCTTTTTTTAATATTTTTACACCCTTCTTATAAAGTTACTTTTATATCTTTTATAGATGTGAAATTCGTGTAAATACTATAGCTAACTCTACCTTAGCTTTTAACTCTTTATCCTCTAGATGTAATAGCTCCTTATTAATCTTCTTGACTATAAATAGGTTAGTATATATAAAAGAACTAGGAGAAGGGGTAGTATACTTAAAGATATCGGGGAATAAGCGCTATTATATAAGCGATTAATATAAATATATATAGTATAATAATTTAAACTTAGGATAATAAAGTAGCCTACATCCTTTTCCACATACCTAGAATAAGGTATGACCTTAAACCTATAAGTAAGAATATACTTAAATTTCTAAGTATATTTATACACTAAGTTAGATTTCTTTTATTTTAAAATATAGCTAGATATTTTATTAGTATATATATAATGTGAATAAATATAAGGCTAAGTATACACCGAAACGATAAGGTGTAATAAGTTAGCCTTAAGGATAAGACCAATAAGGAGGGGGTATTATATTATAAATAAAGGCCTCTATTAGGCTATAGGAAGTTATATGTAAGGTGGACTATTAAACTCTACCTTAAGGACTAATAGAAACAGCTTATTACTTAAGTAGAGTGATAGCTTAGTGATAAAATAGTAATAGCCTTACTATATATATATATTTATTTCTTAGATAGAAATACTTTCTTAGATAGTTATTAATATAATTACTACTACCTTTATTAAAACTAGCTTCTTAGTGCTTATATATTAGTAGTGACTTATATAGTACTAAGATAACTTAATCACCCTCTTAGAATATCTCTAATTAATTATATCCTTAATCTACCCTAGACCCCTGTCTAGTATAAGTCTACTAACTATCATAATACTAAAATAACTATAGTAATTAATATCTTTTAATTATATTATTAAATTATTACTATTTAAAGAACTAATAATTAAAGTAAAATATAATAATATTTTAATAATTATTAATAGACTTATAAAATATAAGTATTTTATATTATATAAGGAAGTAAGCTCTATAGAAGACTTTATATACTAAGTCCTATAATATATAATTATAAACTATAAACTACTTAATAAGATAATATTAAATAAAGGAATAATATTTACCTTTAAGTTTTAGTAATTACTTATAGTATAAATAGATATAAAATATAAGCTTTTAACTACTTATTACCTATAAAGTAATAAATAAATAAAATATTTAAACTAAATATTAAAATAATACCTATAAGTATATATTAATTATAAATAGAATAATTAAGTATAACTATTACTTATAGTATAAATTATATATAATAATATAATATAAGAATTAACTTAATTATTATTAATATATATAAACTATAATTATAAATTAGAATTCTTAGGTAAATTAGAACTTAATAAACTAATAGTATTTATTATTATACTTATAAAGGAAATACTATATTTATTATATATAGAAATATAAGCTAAACTAAAATTTATATAAGAAAGAATAAAAAGATATTATAATAAAATAAAATTAAAGGGATTAATCTTAAAAGAGAGAGATAAAGTCTATTTACTTTAAAAAAATATTATAATAATAAAGCTAAGTAATAAATTAAACTATAAAAAACTTAAATTATTTAAAATTATAAAAAAGAAATTAAATATTAACTATAAATTATTATTACTAAATACTATATATATTTATTTAGTTTTTTATATCTTATTACTTAAAAAAGTATTATAAAATATATTAAATTAAGATTATTTAATTAAAGTTTATAAAGAAGAATTTAAATTAAAGAAAATCTTAAAAAAAGAAGTTAAAAATAAATAAATATTTTATTTAATAAAATAGAAAAGCTATAATAAAAATAATAATATATAAAAACTTATTAAATATTTAAAGAACTATTAATATTTAATATATTAATTCTATTAGAAGAAGAAGAAGGATTAATAACCTTACCTTAAGTAATACTATTAAAAAGATCCTCTATAAAAGGGTTAAAGGTAAAGCTAGAAAAATTAATAGCTTATATAATATATAAAGTTTAGACTTAGAATATAAGCTTAGCTTCTTAAGCTTATACTTACTCTAGCTCTTCTTAATAACTTTTCTCCTCTACTTCCTTTTACTCCTCCTCTTCTAACTCCTTTATATTATTTAAACCTTTTTTTAATATTTTTATACCCTTCTTATAAAGCTACTTCTATATCTTATATAATCTAGAGATTTATATAAGTACCTTATTAATTTAATACTACTACTTAAAGAGTAAGTCCTTTATACTATTTTCCTTATCCTCTAGATAAATAAGCTTATTATTTATTTATTATATTACTATCTAAGTTAGGAAAGAAGATATAAATATAATTAGGAGTATATACTTAATAATATTAGGCTTTAGGAACTATTATAGCTTTAACTAAGATAATAGTATACTATATAGTAACTAATAGAAGGAATAATAATATATAGATATAATTAATCTAAATAATAAGTATAGGGGAGTACTTTAAAACCTTAGGATTTAATAAAATTTAACTTTTAGGTATAATTATATATTAACTTAGATTTCTTTTATTTTAAGATATAGCTAAATATCTTATTAACTTAATATATAATATAAATAAATATAAAGCTAAGTATATACTAGGAATAATAAGGTATAATAAACTAGCTTTAAAGATAAGACTAATAAGGAGGGGGTATTATATTATAAATAAAGGCCTTTATTAAGCTATAGGAAGTTATATATAAAGTAGATTAATAAGAACTACCTTAGTAATTAGTAATAACTAACTTTACTTTAGTAAAGTAAAGTCTAAGTAAAGACTAAGTAAAGCTTTAATAAAGCTTCTACTATATATATATATTTATTTCTTAGATAGGAATACTCTCTTAAATTATTATTAATATAATTACTATTACTTTAATTAAAACTAGCTTCTTAATACTTATATATTAATAGTAACTTATATAGTACTAAAATAACTTAATTACCCTCTTAGAATAATACTTTAATTAGTTATACCTTTAACCTACTTTAGACTCTATCTAGTATAAGTCTATTAACTATTATAAAACTATAAAAAACTTAAATTATTTAAAATTAAAAATAAGAAATTAAATACTAATTATAAACTATTATTACTAGATATAATATATATCTACTTAATTTTTTATATATTATTACTTAAAAAAGTATTAGAAAATATATTAAACTAAGATTACTTAATTAAAATCTATAAAGAAGAATTTAAACTAAAAAGAATCTTAAAGAAAAAAGTTAAAAATAAATAAATATTCTATTTAATAAAATAGAAAAACTATAATAAAAATAATAATATATAGAAACTTATTAAATATTTAAAGAATTACTAGTATTTAATATACTAATTCTATTAGGAAAAAAAGAAATAATAACCTTACTTTAAATAATAATATTAGAAGAATTAACTTATACTATATTCTAATTAATAACTTTAATAGTACCTTATAATTAAGCTTTAGTAATTACCTTAAACTCTTAATATTTTAACTCTTTTAGCTTATTTAATAAACCTTTTCCCTTATAAAGTATTTCTAAACCTTACTTATAAATTTATTACTTTTAATAATATAATTATATTAGTTTATTTAAGGCTTTATTTATTTTAGTTTATATCTTTAGAAAATACTCTTTAATAATACCTTATTTTTACTTTAAGTAATAATATTTATTTATAATATAATATATTAAATTAATAAATAAAAGGAAACTAAAAGGGGAAATATATAACTTCTTACTAAATAATATTATAATACTTAAATAATTATAAGAGTAACTATAATAAGTATATTTAAAATAATACTCCTTTATATTAAGTATAATCTAATAGTAAAAACTATTCTTTAAGTAAAAAGTATAAAGTATAATATCTATATTAAATTCTTTAATTAATAAAGCTTTAGCTTTATAATAATTAGTAAAAGAAACCTTCTTTCTAGCTATAGTAATTAATAAGGGATAAATATATAATAAATAAAGGAAGAAGTTCTACTTAAGCTATAGGATATAATCTTAAGGATAAAACTAATAAGGAGAGAGTAATATATTATACCTTAATTATAAGCTACCTTATACCTATATTATATAATATACTTAAATATTAAAGAATAATATTTATAACTAAGTACTAATACTTATTACTAAATATATTATACTTAGTACTAATTAAGATATATAAATATTAAGTACTTTAGTATATATATATATTTATTTCCTAAATAGAAATACTCTCTTAAATAATTATTAATATTATTACTATTACTTTTATTAAAATTAGCTCCTTAATACTTATATATTAATAGTAATTTATATAGTACCTAGATAACTTAATTATACTACTTAAAATAATACTTTAATTAATTTAACCTTAACCTACCCTAGACCCCTATCTAGTATAAGTCACCTAACTATCACATTTAATTCACTGCAGGGCAACCTACGACTATTCAGCAAGTCACTAGTATATATAGGTGCTCGAAAGCCAAGCCCCTTTCAGCGAATACATGCTCATTTATCGTTTGTAATCCTGGAGGGGTATAATGTAGAGACAAGCAAGTGTTGGTCGTCATCGTCGAGTCAAGTCAATCCTAGCTAATCTCTAATACTAAACTAAACTGGGTTTCTCCAAGTTGGTGGGTTCCGCTTATCTCGGCCCAGCTTTTACGCCCTCCCTCATGGTGGACCGATTTATATATGTCATCAATGTTGGTCACTCCCCACTTCCCCTCTTCCTCTAAGCCCATGTGATTTCCGACAGAAAGCCTCGAGGCACAGTGCGCTACAGGAGTTGACCATTGGTAGCTTATTAACTACAAGCCTCCTTGTACGAGGAATTATTGCGTCTACCCCAACTTCATAATACCTTCTCCCAGCTACGCCCACCTGACTCAACTCATATGAGTCATGGCAACCAAGTCGCCATTCCGCGTGCGGTTTGCTTCCAAGAACAAATTCCAATCTCTAATTCAGAACCGTTCCGTGGCAACAAGTCCAGACAGTGACACATGCAGTTCGGACACGCCCTGGAAGCGGCGTGTCTTCCCGGATCGGAGGCCCAAGAGCAAATCTGGATGCCAGGAATGCAAGAAGCGGCGTGTCAAGTGTGATGAGAAATACCCTGTCTGCGGTCACTGCCAACGCCGCGGCTCCGTCTGCCTCTCGGCGGCGCCGTCGGCGGCATGGCAGATTGAAGTACCTTGGATGATGGCAAGACCCATGTCCGAGCCGTGGATGGGCACGGTGAACCCCGAAAAGAGGCTGCTCCAGTACTGGCTCGAGAAGACGAGCAGGATGATGACCCTGTGCCCCGAGAACAATCCGCTGTCCTTTCCCCTGCTCGAGCATGTCGTGTCCACCCCCTCGTTGTTGCACGCTGTGCAGAGCGTGAGCGCAGGCCAGGAACACTTCTTCAAGCCGGACCAATTGACGACTTGCCTACAGCAACGGGGCCTGGCAATCCAGGCCCTGCGTCTTGAGATGCAGGACCTGGCACACGTCAAACCCGCCTCGCTCCTCTCCGTCATTCTACAGGGTATCTCGTGGTCGTGGACAGAGGACCACCCCAGCAACTACGGGAGGGAGCACCTCCAAGCCGCGCGCACACTACTGGAATCAATGCTGGACGACCCGGAGAAGCGGCGGGACAAGCTGGTCCAGTACATACTCGGCTGGTACCTGTTGTGGGACATGTCGTGTGCCTTCATCGCCGAGCCGCACACCCTCACCCCCCTCAACACGGCACAGATGTTTGATGCCATCCAGGCCGCTCGTGGCTACTTTCATCCCATGATTGGCTTCTCCCTGGAGCTGATGTATCTAATCGCATGCCTCGGCCGGCATTGCCGGGTCGTCATGGAGACCGAGGTTGGGGATGCCGTGCTGGAGGCCACTTTTGAGGAGCAGCTGCTTGCCTGGGACCCCGACCACGAGGATCAGAACCTGGTCGATATGAGCATCGCCTATCGTAACCACGGGCTCATCATGCTCTACAACATCTGCGGGATCCCTGGCCGAGATAATGACTCGGCCCAAGACGCCTCGGGCATGGCTGAAAAGAATTCCCAGACCCGGATACGATCACTAGTCAACGATACGCTGGAGAGGTTGTTCAGGACGCCCGTCGGCGAACCTTGCTTCAATTTCCACTCGACGCCCTTGTTCACTGCTTCCGCGGAGCTAACGAGGGAGGATGCAGACCTGCGCATCGCGGCCGTTAACCAGTTCAGGGCTATATACTCGACTAACAGAGTGGCAGTTAACTTATGGGCCATTGAGGTTTTGGAGGAACTGTGGAATCTCCATGATTGCGGAATCAACATCACATGGCTAGAACTACTGGTCGCTAAGAATTGGCATCTGTCATTTGCTTAAGTATCAAATTCGTAGTCAACAATGCAAAATAAATAAATAACGTGAACAGATTATCAATCCTTCGAAAAGGTAGTAGCTTTATTCTGCATATCTCTCTCCACTCAAGCATAACTCATCCCCTGTGTGACTTGATAACCTTCAATGGCAAACCTATATAAACCCGACTCGGCACCAGTTTAGATCCTAGGCCTGAGATGGACCGAAGCGTAGTCCTTGATTATCATCTCGGCACCCTTCTCGGCAACGGCATAAACGGTCAGCATGGGGTTGATTGACGTGATGACTGGAAAGACGCTGGCATCTACGACGCGGAGCTTCTTGACTCCGCGGACACGAAGTTGAGGATCGACGACGGCCAGACTGTCCCTCGAGGTGTCTCCCATCTTTGCAGTCCCGCAAGGGTGGAAGACGGTGCCGTGCGTCTTGCGCGCATAGTCGATGAGCTGCTCGTCGGTCTGGACGTCTGGACCCGGCGCAACCTCCCTCTCAATAAGATCTTTGAACGGGGCAGTAGCGGCAAGCTTGCGGCCAGCTCGCAGCTCGAATAGTATCGTTTTGAGGTCATAATCCTCGGCATCGGTCAGATAGCGGAAATCAATGGCCGGGCGGACCTTGGGGTCCGAGGATAGTAGGGACACGCGGCCACGAGAACGAGGCCGTGGAATGTTGGGAATCAGACAGTAGGCGTTTTTCGGCGCGTGGTATCCCCAACGTGCAGAGTTGTCATCGAAGCCAATTCCGAAGACGTGGAACATGGAGTCCATGATGTCACCATCGTCTCCCTGCGAATTCACCGGCTCCCGACGCAAGAAGAAGCACACGTCCGAATAGAGGAGTGACTCCGGGGGCACCTTGTCCTTCATCTCCCACATCATGAGGGTCTCTGGGTGGTCCATTAGATTCTCGCCAACACCTGGGACGTCTGCAACCACGGGTATGCCCAAGTCTTGCAGGTCACCTCGCGGCCCGACTCCAGAGAGGAGCAGCAGTCGGGGGGAGTCGAATGCTCCAGCGCATAGTATCGTCTCTATGGCCGAGGTCACCGTGACCTTACGACCCGACTTAAGCGTCACATTGACCCCGGCGGCAACATTGTTGACAAAGTTGACGCGGTCAACCCATGCACTGGTGAGAATGGTCAGGTTGGGCCTTTTTTCCTCGCCTCGGAGTATGGGGTGGATGTAAGCGATGCTGGCACTGCTGCGGTGGCCGTTTTCCGGGTTGTAAGCCACGGCGAGGTGTCCTGTAGATGGCACAATCTTGCCGCTACGGACAACGTCCCTGTTGAATGACTCCGTCTTTGGTATGTGGAAAGCCTTGTGTGCGGCGTCAACCAGGGCCAAGTCGACCGTGTTGTGGTACGACGGGAGGATGGTGTTGACTGTGACGCGCAGCTTGTCGACCAGCCTCACCAGTTCCTCAAAAGTCCACCCCTTGGCGCCGGCCTCTTGCCACTTGCGAAGGTCGTACTCGAAGGGTCGAAACGAGATGCAGCCGTTGATGTTGGAGCAGCCACCGAGGACTTTCCCACGCGAGTGCTGGATGAAGCTATTGCCTGCCATTGAAGATAGGTTAGTCGCGGCGGGGTATCATGGTTTGGGGTTTTCCTGGCAGCCACACCTTTGAGTTGGGGCACTGAGCTGTAGACGTAGTCGTGCTCGGTCCCCCATGCGTCCACCTGGAGCTTGAGGTCGTGGAGGTTGTCCTTGCCGAGGTCGCTGTCTCCCCCTTCGATGAGGAGGATCCTAGCCGCTGGGAGATCTGAAGCCAGACGGCTGGCGACAACGCAGCCCGCCGTGCCGCCTCCGACAATGACATAGTCGAAGGCGCTCTGTTGACGATCCAAGCCTTCTACGGTAGCCATTTTGCTGCTGATTGATGCAAAGTCTAGGGAGTGGGTGAGGAGTTGGCGCTTGAAGGTATGTGGCTCGACTTATTGAAACCCGGTCATACGGCTGGTTATGTAGCAGCTCAGCCGGGTTGGTGTATGTTGACAGGGCAATTCCCCTTTCAGATTTACCATCAGTCTGTAATCCTCCACGCCATGTACACAAACCTTAGACCCAGGATCCATCATCCATGTATGTCGGCGAGGTCCGCCACCATCACAGGTCACCCGTATCACCGTTGCTCTGCTAGCTTGTCTACCTAGCCGGTGACTCGCCCCTACTCCCACCAGTTGAGCCAAGATTGGCTTACCACCACCCCGGGACTTTGGAAAGGCTATCGAGCATCGTACCATGACTGCAAGTGTCTAGGCTCTTGGACCACCACTTCCCCAGACACATTCGCAATTTACCCTAATCGGGCAAGTGGGTCGGGATTGGTAGTGCTCTTGGCGGCTAAACGAAGAGCGTTTTGCACTGCCGTTGCATCAAAAGCTCCAGTTTTTATGCCATGCCACCCAGCCGGCTTTATCGGCAAGTATCAAATTGGGGAAGCTATGGACGACGCCGGTTTTGAGCTAGAGGTAGGCTTGGCCATCGTGTATGTAATTTTAGGGTTTCTATAGCTAATCTTACCCCAACCGTATAAGTGTCTATACCGTAAAAGAAATGCACACAACAATGGTAAGTGAATGGCTCTCATTGTAAACCTGGCCAGTAACCCATCTTTCTCTTGCATAAATCCGGTGTACACTCTAGCAGTTGACAGCTATCCCTACTCTATTCGGGTCCAAGTAAGCATCTCCAACTCCCATGGTTTGGGATCCGAGGCCGCTATTCATATTTAATGGCTTATATTGCAGTTAGTCCTGGCCAAGAGTCAAGAAGGAGGCTTTATCGATGTGGACTAGAACGTAGTCTATCAGGGAAGAAGCCTTGCGATGACGGACATCGGGGAGGAGGGATTTAGGTGGATACCTGCTTTTTCTAGTCACTTCCCGACGGACCCTCTCTCGAGGTCAATGGGAGGAAGCCTTACGCACAAATCGCAATTGGTCTGGTTTAGGCAACCGGTCATTGCCTCCCTCGGAGCCACCCCTATCCCGCAGTCCAAGCTGTGTACCTTACTGTCCCGTTCCTACCTATAGCACCTACTTTACGCATTCTATACAGTAAGATGATTATATAGTTGTCTAGGTTGAGGAGAGGCGCGCTAGCGAGGCTGCCACTACTTACATCGACTTCCACCATGCTCAGCTATTAGAAGCTTTGACTCACTCGTTGCTGCAACTTTAATCTTAATAGCCCTCGCCGCCCTTAAAGAGCTATGATTCCAGGTTCTCTCAAGATCCACCCCATCCAAGCACAAGAGAACACCACAACTCTCACATCATGTGGTCTCCGGCAGACGAGCTTCAAAGATTCGGTGTCAGGTTGACCGATCCGACATTGCTGATGTGCCAAGGGCTGATTGAAGGCCGTTGGCAGGATCCCCCATCGGGCTCAACCTTTCCCGTCTATGAGCCTTCCTCTGCCACTGTCCTTCTCAATTGTCCCAACTTCAGTCGACAGGACCTGCAGCGCTCCATCCTGAGTGCTGCCGCCGCCCACACGAGCTTTTACGCTTCCACCACGGCCGCCGGTCGCGGAGCACTCCTTAAAAAATGGAACGAGCTCATTCTCGCAAACAAGGAAGATTGTAAGTAGGCTCCTATTGATAGTTCTCTCCATGTACTTTCTCTTTTGTTCATGTCTGACTTTCTCAAGTGGCATCGATTCTGACTTTGGAAAACGGCAAACCAATAACAGAGGCCAGAACTGAAATCGAATACGCGGCATCCTTTGTGTCCTGGTTCGCCGAAGAGGCCACTCGCTCTTACGGTGACGTGATCCCCTCCTCCATCCCCGGCTCCCAGGTCTTCACTGTCAAGGAGCCAATAGGGGTCTGCGGCATCATAACACCTTGGAACTTCCCTGCAGCCATGATAACGAGAAAGGTCGCACCCGCTCTTGCGGCGGGCTGCTCTGTCGTGATCAAGCCCCCCAGTGAGGCTCCCTTTACGGCGCTGGCGCTGGCAAAGCTTGCGTGCAGGGCCGGGGTGCCGGGTGCTTGTGTGCAGGTCGTCCCGACTAGAGACCGCGCAGCAGCATCGGAACTAGCGACCAACCCTGCCATCAAGAAACTCAGCTTTACGGGCTCTACTGAGGTTGGTAAGCATTTAATCTCGCTTGCATCAAAGACGGTGAAGAAGGTCAGCATGGAACTTGGAGGCAACGCGGCCTTTATCGTGTTTGAAGACGCGGACCTGGACCTGGCTGTACAAGGGGCCATGCAATCCAAGTTTCGGGCCACGGGTCAGACCTGTGTAGTAAGTCACGAAAGGCAACTAGCCTCGTCTTTTGGTGTCCAGATTGTGCTAACTATGACACCGATAGTGCTCTAACCGCATGTTTGTCCACGCCTCGGTAGTGGACGAGTTTGCCAGGCGTCTAACAGAGCAGGTCAAGCAACTCAAACTAGGACCTGGCCATGAAGACGGAGTCACACAGGGGCCTCTGGTCAATAGGTCGTCAGTGGAAAAGGTTGCTTGGCATGTCCAGGACGCTTTGAACCTGGGAGGGGAGCTGGTGTTTGGTGGCAAGCGCCCCACGCATCTGGCATCTGGCTTTTACTTTGAGCCAACTATAATCAAGAAAGCATCGAGCGACATGGCTGTAGCTCGCGAGGAGACTTTTGGTCCTCTGGCGGCAATATTCAGCTTCAATGACGAGAAGGAGGTTGTCCGGCTCGCGAACAGCACCCCATTCGGCCTGGCTAGTTACTTCTTCTCGCGCGACCTGAATCGCGTCCTCCGCGTGGCCAAGGCGCTGGAGGTGGGTATGATTGGTGTTAACACGGGTATCATCAGCACAGCTGAGACCCCATTTGGTGGGATCAAGGAAAGCGGATATGGAAGAGAAGGGAGCAAGTACGGGCTTGCTGAGTATCAGGTTCTCAAGTCCGTTACAGTCGGCTCTTTGAAACACTAGGAGGCTCAGAGAAAGCTCGGCAGTCGATAAATCATAACATATGTAATGCCAGACAGTATTATCCCGCTCTGCCTGTTCTCACTGAGCCACTTGAGCGTGTTGTTCCTGGATGTTGAGTTCTTGATCCATATGGCCTCTGCCAACAATCATGGAGAAGCTCCATTTCCACATACTTGAATCAGATTTCCCATGCGTCGTAGTGTTCCTGATTGTATTGGTCACAACAGTTAGCTGGTAAAGGCACATGTTTAGACTGACGATCTGGAGGGGTGGCAGAAGCTGCAGGGCAAGGACTTTGAGAACATCCGCGTTAATTTCTTCACGGTTGCAGTGGTACCACACGGCCCACATCGCAATGATGATGCCATTGGACCCATAGACGGTCGTTTCCATTTCAATTCGATATGGTAATTCAGGTGCCGCTTTCCGAGTCTTGGCTACGTGTATTTAATCTCCTGTTCCCAATCGACAGAATCAACCTCAGAATCGCATGGTAGAACTCTTACGGCAATACGTTCACACTCAACTATACCCATGGATACGAATCAGTTGACTTTGGCCTTGCAATCGCAAGTACCAGGCCTAGAGGTGTTGAATAAGCACGACCAAGCCTTAGACACCCGCTGCTCTTACTACAATCGAAGTCTCAACCAACAACCTTTGGCAGTTGTGCGGCCTACCAATCAAGACCAAGTCTCCAAGACTATATCGTTCTGCAACAACAAGATTATTGCAATTGCCGTCCGATCGGGTGGCCATGACTTTTTTGGCAGATCAGTTGTCGACGATGGAATTGTCATGGACATGAGGGGCATCAATTCGGTCGAGATTGCCGACGACGGGGAAACAGCTCGTGTTGGAGGTGGCATCATCTCTGGCGATCTGCAGCAGTTTCTCGCTAGGTACAAGCTGTTCACGCCGACGGGGCAGGTCAAGACAGTGGGCTACGTGAGCTGGGCATGCGGCGGCGGATACGGCTTCTACGTTGGGACCTACGGCTTCGGGGTCGACCAGATTGTGGGTGCCAAAGTGGCCACCTCCGACGGACAGATCATTGACACCGACCATGATGACGAACTTTTATGGGCGCTTCGAGGTGCTGGCGCTGGGATCGTGGGGGTGGTTGTCGAGCTCCGCATCAAGGTCTACCCAGCACCAAGGCTGTACGCTGGTCTCTTGACCTACCCGTTATCTGAAGCAGCTGCTGTGCTTGATGGGCTCGAACAACTTGCCGGGCAGGATGGCCTCCCGGATGCATTTAGTGGCGATGCCATCATTGCTAGACCTGAGATGCTACAGCTTCCCTCCTCCGTGCCCTCACTCATCTTCTATTGGTGCTGGACAGCGATAGAAGGGGGGCTGACTGAAGCAGTGTCCTTCCTGGACAAGATGAGGCATCTCGGCAGTGTCCAGATTGACACAGTTCAAGAAAGTAAGCTCAGGGCCCCATCATCTGACCTTGTACATTCTGTCTCCCCAAGCCAGACACTGACACGCCTTTCTTTTCCTCCCATCTAGCTGCAGCTGCCGAATTCGGAGGCGGCGAGTCTTCCACGCCAGTATTCTTTCGCAGCTGCAACGTCTCAGTGCTCGGGGCCGACGTCGCAAGAGTGCTTGCGGCGAGCCCACCGATTCATCCTCTATGTGCTGTCGTGGTTCACAACAACCATGGCCAAGGTGTCCGGCGCGGGTTCGACGATGGCATCGGGGCAGTCTTTTGCAACCGCCGCCGCCATATTATCCTCGGTCTCCACGGCGGAACGGCCATGGGCGCCGGGCCTGACCGGGGCATGCTGGCCGAGAGCACTGCCTGGGTCCGTGGGCTTTTGGTGCACTTGTCCAAGCTCGAGTGTCATCGCAGGGAAGGATTCCCTGCCTTCTCTCCTCCAGATGATGTGCACCCTGCGGATTTCTTTGGAGTCGAAGCTGCTCAGCGACTGTTTCAGGTGAAGAAACGGCTAGATCCGGGAAACTTTTTCAGTAAATAATTTACTATAATAAGTTAGTACTATAATAATATTAAGTAGTTAGGATAGCTATATACTAGAATCCTAATAACTATTAGCTATTAATATTAAATTAGCTTTATTTATATTAAGTAGTTATAAAGAAAAGTATTAGTTAAAGTAATAAAAAAAGATTAATTAAAATAAACTTTTTAAATTTAAATAATTTTATTAAAAATTTATTAAAAATTTAAACTTATAAACTTCTTTTTTATATTTTAAGAGAATTTTCTTTATTAAATTATCTTTATTTAAAAATATATAAATATTTAAGTATAATATTCCTTTATTATATTTTAAAATCTTAATAATATTTCCTCAAGTCCCTCGCCCCAGGTTCTTCTCCCCGTTGTTGATCTGAAGTGCTCGATGTTCTATCTTGACTTTTCATGCTTGAGCGTCTCACTACCTCTTCCCAATCCATTTATCTCGCAGGTGTCGAGCTGCGTGGTGTAATCCCTCACTAACTGCGTCATGCCTTAATTTGTGAGCTAGAATCCGTTGGTAGACCTGCGTGGTAACATCGAGGCAGGCCTCATCTTGGACTTCCCACAGTGTTCCAGTGACATGTTGGAAGCCTACAAGCTGAAAGGCACTTGTGAGATGTATGCTTTCGTCCTCGAGCTCGTCGTGTGTTGCTCGACCTGTTCCGCATGCTGACAAATAGGCGAGGAAAGGCCTCCGCGAGTTATGATCTGCCTGTAGCAAATCTGCCACAGTTAACGGGTTTTCTCGCCAGTCCTGCAAGAGTATTCCACTTCTGGAGGGGTCTGAGCTATCAGTCCGGCCGTGGCCAGCAAAGTGGAAAATGCTGCAGTTATCCAAGGCTAAAAGGAGATCTTGGTACACACAAGGAGGTCTTTGCACCGGCAGTTGATATAAATTGCAGATGTCCTCTAGCTTGTCAACTTCTTCTCCCGCGAATGGCAAGTGGCTCGACCCAGGTGTGTTTTCCATCCCAACTAGCACCACCTCCGTTGACCCCATATTCCAAACTGGTTCAAAGCGATGCTGATGGGCATAAAAAAGGGCCTTTAAGGAAGTGCTGTAGGAGGATATAGCCCGATCCAGAACGCTCTCCTTAGATCCCATCGGGTCCAGGAAACCGACACCGGCCGCATGAATCGGGAATCTGGTCAGTGGTCCTGTCGGAACCCACCATATCCGTGGCCAACAGCCGTCTAACGGTTGCTCAATCCATCACAGCACATCTAAAACGGGTTCAGCTATCGTTCTCCACAGCCATTCAAGGATATTCCTGTCCTGTAAAGACCCCGTAGCAAACTCTTGCGCTTCGTAGTGATCGAGTTCCGGCAGTGGAACTGTATAGATTCTTAACTTTTCAATGATCAGTGCATCACAACGGATCTCGCTCACGTTGACGATGACAACCGGGCCATGCTCCGCTGCTCTTATTGATTCTTGCTCCGAGAGCTCGCCATGGAATCGATCAAAGCCTGGAGGATCCTGTATGTCCTTGATAACCTGCTCCAGCTTTTCACAAGCCGCATAGCGCTCGTCTACCCGATCCCCAGAAGAATTCTTGAGAGCAAGGATTCTATCACGCAGGGTGGTATACTCTTTTGCGAGCTTAGGATACTGCTGCTCGAGAGTTGAAACATCGAGACGCATATCATTCAAAGACCCGGCAATATTCCCGCGGCCGATCTCGACGAGTCTCAGGGCTTCAAAAGCGGGCTTCCCTGCGCTGAGCGCAATCGCTGCAGCATCAGAGGCGACACCGACCAACGCCCCGAGCTGGGATTGCTTATCCGAGTTGTCAAGAAACCGATGCATGATCTGTGGGACCCAGGCCAGCACCTTGACTGCGATTTCGTATGCCTGCGACCAGTCGTTGACTTCAGAATATCTTCTCAGTAACAGGACACCCGACTCGAGACGATCTCCAACATGGGACGGAGCATGGTTAAAAGCTTGGCGTTCTTGCTCAAGCGCCTTCTCAATGTAGCGTCTGTCTTTTTCTCTTTGATATTTGTTATAGTACCCGACCCCCAGAGCTGCAAGCTGACGAGCCTTTGATGGTTGATGTTCGGGCGTCTTCTCCAGTGCTAATTCATATTTCTCAATTGCTTTATCCACATCACTCATGGAGCCGCTGGGGAGAATGTATCTTTCAAGGTACATACTACCCAAGTCTCGGAGTAGATCTATTCCGCCCAGTGATTCGTCCGCCGGCAATCGCTCAAGAGCTGCTTCCTGATGGTGGATGGCCCTCTTCAAGTCCTCGGGTTCCCCAACAGCCAAGTACTGGTTATAATATCCTTGAGCAAGTCCAGCCAACGAGGTTGCGCTGTCTAGATCATCTAAAGAGAGGATTCCAAGGCATTCCTGGTGTTTGTCCATTGCTCTTTTCCTAACTGACGGATCCCCTGTTCTGGAATATCGGACATGGTATGCAATCACCATAGTCCGACTTCGGACCGCCCAGCTGGAGTCGCCTTGTGGTGTGAGATTGAGGGCTGTTTCAAGGTTCGTGAGGAATAGCTCCAAGTCCGCAAAGGCCCCCAAGTTCTCATATCGGTCGTAGTATGCAATGCCAAGGAGACAGCAGCACGCAGCATAGCAGGGATCGTCTCTTGACATCTCCTTGAGCATGGCTCTATATTGAGCGATGGCCTCTGTAAGATGTCCCAGAATCCTGCTGGTATGATAAGATCTGTGGGATAGAATCCCGCGATCCTCGGAAGGATCATTGAAACCTCGTGCTGCTGCAAAATGTAACTCTGCAATTTTACGACAGTCGTGTATTTGCAAGGAATACTCCGTCATAGTTACTGATCTTCAGACCAATATCGGATATAGATATCTTGGTTGTTTCAAGTAGCTACGGTGTTTTGATTCTAAACACCTTTCCCCGCACACGCCTTGGGTATCTAACGGTTTATGCCTAAAGGTGCACTTTCACCTCATTGGCCGCTGGTTGTAGGGATTCGCCTATGACACTGATGACGACATCTAAAATACCTCAGATATCACCTGCATTCTAATGATTGCAAGATAGAAACTCCGTGAGTCTTAGGGTAGGCCAATCTAGCAATCAAAGGAGGCTGATCGAACAAGACTGTACCCTGATTGGAGATTCCACCATTCTCACTGAAAAGCCAATGATCTGCTCCGAGTCCGACTCCGAGATTGTAGCCTAAAATCTTCTTAGTGGATGCTAGAGGCGTGATCCCCGATTATAGCCCGACCCCGAGTCTATCCCCGATGCCAACCCCGACTGGTCGAGGCCTACTGACCCGAGAAAATAAATATGTGTGAAACGAAACGACGCAGATTTCATAATTGAGATAAACTACCGCGTGAACTAGACATAGCTACACACAGCACCATTCCATTCGAACCAACTCGAAAACAGCAACATGGAAGAGGATATCGAGGTTATAGCTCGACATGTTACAGCTACGTCTGCCCATCAGCACGACGACTACGAGAACAGCGCCCTGAACCCACGGCCAGGTAGCAAGCTCGATCCTCACTCTGATCACTTTGACGTGTTAGCTTGGACAAAAGCTTTCATCGCGGAGTTTGATGCAGATGCGAATTGCCCAACTCGTCGGAGGGTAGACGTTGCTTGCCAAAACTTGAGTGTCTTTGGCTACGGCAGAGGTCCTCAATACCAGCAAAATGTCGGAAACATTGTGATGGGCGCTGCCCAATATTTGTCTAGGAAAATGATCGGACAAACCAATCAACACGTCAATATCCTACATCGGTTCGATGGCATAGTAGAGCCAGGCGAAATGCTACTAGTCCTTGGCCCCCCAGGATCGGGATGCTCGACTCTCCTGAAAACTCTAGCAGGGCGAACCGAGGGGCTTAGTGTTACAGTGGATTCTTCCATCAATTTTCGAGGTTGGTTCCGCGATATACGTATTTTTGTCGATTGCGCTCATCGAGGCCCCAGGAATTGACCCCAAACATATGCACACTTGGTTTCGTGGCGATGCGCTTTACAATGCCGAGGTTGATGTCCATCTGCCTGCCCTCACAGTAGGTGACACCCTCGACTTTGCAGCTGGAGCACGGGTCCCCGCGAATATTCCTGGCGGTTTTACCGCCCAACAATTCGCCCGCATCTGGCGCGATGTTACTATGGCTATGTTCAGGATCAGCCATACCGTCAACACCAAGGTTGGTGACGATTATTTGCGAGGTGTGTCTGGGGGCGAACGGAAGAGGGTCAGCATCGCTGAAGCAGCTCTGGTGCGGGCCAAGCTTCAGTGTTGGGACAATAGCACTCGCGGCCTGGATAGTGATAACGCTATCTCCTTCTGTAAGACTCTACGTGTGCAAGCGGATGTGATGGATATTGCAGCAGTCGTCGCAATTTATCAAGCTCCCCAGACTGCATATGGGGTGAGTGGCTACACTCCAGGAACTCGCACGTGTTCAAAGTCTAACATCACATAGGTTTTTGACAAGGTCACTCTACTCTATGATGGACGTCAGATATATTTCGGCAGGACGAAAGATGCGAAACAGCATTTTGAACGACTTGGATTTGATTGTGAGTAGAATCTACAGCATCCTGCCCTGTTCTCCCCTGTTTGATAGCTTCGACTAGGATAGGCCGAGCTAATCGCCTCGAAGGTCCAGAGCGGCAGACGACGGCTGATTTCCTGACGTCAATGACATCGCCCACTGAGCGCCGAATCCGGCCTGGATATGAAGACACTGTGCCGCAAACTCCAGATGAGTTTGCTGCCCGATGGTACACGTCACCCGAATGGGAATCACTGCTTATAGAGCTGCGAGCATATGAAGACACTCACCCCAGCGATGAGCGTTTTAATGAGTTTGCAGCGTGTCATGGAGCAGAGCATAGTCCTTACCAGCGATTGAAGTCCCCATATACGATATCTTACCTCTCTCAGGCGCAATTATGTCTTTGGCGAAGCTGGAGACGCCTTGTTGCCGACCCCTCTTTCACTGTCGCCCAGCTTTTGTTCAACCTCATCATGGGGTTTGTGCTGGGTAGCATGTTCTACAACCTATCGCCAGACACGAATAGTTTCTATTATCGCGGGGGGTTGATCTTTTTCTCTATGCTTTTCAATGCATTTGCCAGTGAGCTTGAGGTTTGCCATATCCCGCAGTCGACTTCTGCCGACGCCTTTTGAACTCAAGGAGGTCTCAACTAACCTGCTATCAAGGTTCTCACGCTCTATTCTCAAAGGCCAGTAGTCGAAAAGCACAATCGATACGCGTTATACCACCAGTCGGCCGAAGCGATGGCAAGTTACATCATGGAGCTGCCTTACAAGACAATCAATACCATAACCTTCAACTCGGTGCTCTATTTTTTATCTCACCTCCGGAGAGAGCCTGGGCCCTTCTTTATCTTTATTCTTACAAGCTTCCTTATATTGCTTACTATGTCGGGAATATACCGTACAGTGGCTTGCCTGACTCGAACGTCACATCAAGCTATGGTTCCAACAGCTATCCTCACGCTAGGCCTAATGCTGTACAGCGGCTTTACAATCCCAATCGACTTCATGCGAGGATGGGCGCGGTGGATCAACTACATTAATCCTTTAGCCTACGGGTTCGAAGCTTTAATGTTGAACGAGCTTCATGGACGGCAATTCGAATGTGGCCGCATCATACCATCTGGTCCGGGATATGATGGTCTGTCCAATTCTGAGACTGCTTGCCCAGTTGTTGGTGCTATCGTTGGTTCCACGACAGTCAGCGGCAGTGCGTACTTGGAACAGTCATATGGGTACTACAGTTCTCACAAGTGGAGGTATATTATATTTTGATTCGAGTTGCACCATTACAGCCATTAACAAGCATTAGGAATATCGGCATACTCTTTGGTTATGCCTTCTTCTTCTTCCTCATGTACGTCGTGGCGGCAGAGTACGCGCGACCGCCAGATAATAAGGGAGAAGTCCTCGTATTCAGGCGCGGCAACGTGCCCCGTTCTCTCAAACCTTCATCCAGCACAGACGTAGAGCTTCAGTTACAGGAGCGCGATGTCATGACGGAAACTTCACCATCCCCAGCTAGATGCGAAACACCACAACTAGAGCACTTGAGTCCGAGCAAGTGTGGAAAGCCAATTTTCCACTGGGAGGACATTTGCTACGATATTGATGTCAAAGAGGGTCAACGCCGAATCCTAGATCATGTCGACGGTTGGGTTCAGCCCGGTGTCACAACAGTGCTAATGGTAAGAAACGCTCAGAATAAACGTCCATCAGTCAATCAATTCTAACAAGTATGAAGGGCGCATCCGGGGCGGGTAAAACTACGCTTCTAGATTCATTGGCAGGACGGATAACCATGGGTATTCTGAGTGGGAGCACCTTGGTCAATGGAAAGGCAACCGATCTGTCGTTCCCCCATCGAGTCGGGTATGTCCAACAACAAGACCTCCACCTGGAAACCATGACCGTCCGTGAAGCTCTAGAGTTCAGTGCTCTCTTGAGACAGAGCTCTGAAATTTCACGAACCGAGAAGCTAGCATATGTGGACGAGGTCATCGAGATGCTAGACATGGAGGAATTTGTTGATGCAGTTGTCGGCATTCCGGGGGAGGGGTTGAATATTGAGCAGCGGAAACGTCTGACAATCGGTGTTGAACTTGCTGCCCGACCCCAGCTCCTTGTTTTCTTCGATGAGCCAACATCGGGTCTGGACTCTCAAACATCATGGGCCATCTGCAATCTGATCGAGAAGCTAGCTCGAAGTGGTCAGGCTGTGTTGTGTACTATTCATCAGCCGTCTGCCATGCTTTTTTCTCGCTTTGATCGATTAGTTTTGCTGCAATCGGGCGGTAGAACAGTATACTTCGGCGGTATGTTAACTCTGTTCAGACTAAAGTGTCCAACTAACCTGGGAGAAGATATTGGCCAAGACTGTCGAACTGTCATAGACTACCTCGAACGGAATGGAGCGCCGCCATGCCCTCCCGAAGCTAATCCCGCAGAATGGATGCTCCAAGTGACGTTACCCTCTCCCGGAGGTTGCTGTTGGTTCGAAAAGTGGCGTTCGTCTCCCGAGTATATCGAGACGAAAGCCGAACTCGGTCGACTGCGACAGGGCACCACGGCCCTTCAGCCCTTTTATCATGAAGACGGGGCACCGCAACGAAATGAATTTGGCGCTACCTACTGGACACAGTTCCGTGAGGTTTTCTTTCGCGTTTTGAAGCATTTCTGGAGGTCACCAGTCTACATATGGTCTAAGCTGTCGGTGACAGTCCTGTTTGTACGTATTCGTTCTACCACGGGTGACAACCTTGCTGACAGTGATTGTAGTCGCTCTTCGTTGGTTTCAGTTTCAAAACAAACAACAGTCTGCAGGGATTGCAGAACCAACTCTATGCAGTTTTTATGTGTCTACTCACCTTTAACCCCCTAAGCAAGCAGATAATGCCCATGTTCATTCCCCAGAGAGCTCTTTACGAGGCCCGCGAACGGCATTCGAAAATCTATCGTTGGACAAGTAAGCCCGCTAATTCCATCCCGTTCGCCTAGCTACCTTTACTAATCCGAGTGAAAACGAGCAACAGCTTTTCTTTTGTCGAATATTCTGATAGAAATTCTGTGGAGTACACTGGGCGCTGCTCTATTTTTCTTTTGCTGGTATTATCCTGCCGGTTTTGTTCAGAATGCCGCCCCGGACGATATTCATACTCGAGGCTTCACCGTCTTCCTCTTTATCTGGCAGCTTATGCTCTGGACATCGACGTTTTCTCAGCTAGCGATCATCGGGTTTGATACGGCAGATCTTGCAGGCGTCCCCGCTTCATTGGTTTCGGTCCTTTGCATTGCTTTTTGTGGCGTTGGGGTGGCTCGCGCTGATCTCCCGGCTATCTGGAGCGACTTCATGTACCATGTATCCCCTATGACATATCTGGTCAGTGGTGCTTTGACGACAAGTCTACATGGATCAAACGCGGAGTGCACGCTCAAAGAAATCGTCAGAGTACCGGTCAAGAATGGCATAGATTGCAACGCCTTCCTAGCTCCGTTCATGGAGCGTACAGGGGGGTATCTGCTGGATTCCAGGACGGCTAGTGAATGTTGGTACTGCCCGACTGCAACAACGGATCAATACCTGGAGCTTTTCGAAATGTCGTATACAGACAGGTGGCGAAACTTTGGTATTTTGTGGGTGTATATCATCTTCAACATTGCTGCGATCTGCGGAGTGTATTGGCTCACTAGGGTTCCTAAAGGACAAAGGATGAATGGAGTATAAGCTAGAGGTAGAGTAATAGATTAGTGTTTGTGTGATTATTTAGTGTATTGGTTTTTTTTTGTAGAAATATCTGAAACAAGTAGCAATAAATTCAAACCTGGCCAACAAGGGATCAGCAAAGCCACACAATCAGTCCTTTTGCACGGCGACTTGTGCTGAATACATTTCCTGGTGGATGAGAAGCTGCGGCGGCCGGATCAGCGGGGATTGAACCTTGTGCACACCGTGATTGAACACACTCTGTCCCTAAATTGCTTTGCATCTAGTGAACGTCTGGGGCTTGGTTTCGAATAGAGTAGCCTACACGAACCTATTTCGCCTGCTGTTTCTACCCGGGTATCATGTAGGCTGGTCCTGGCCTACATGTTATATCTCATCTTCAAGGCCAATGCCTTATCTGCTTGTCTGCATTTGGAGATTACGTGGTCCTCTGTATGTGTTGTTGAGGATACCATAAAATCTACCGTTTGACTGTCCCAGCGACGCCGCGTTACTGATATAATCGGTGTTAGGGTAAATTCTTGACGAAAATTGCTCTGTATAGTGGTATAGGCTACTAGAGGTGGGGGATTCATTGATGGGGTGTAGGGTAAGGTCAAATCGGGCTCTGAAAGAAACATGTACTACAAAGCATCGTCCTAACAAACATCACAGACCATCGTCTTGTCCTGGAGTCATTCTGGCCGCCTGGACGAAATTGCGGCACGCATGTGCTTCGCCGAGGATGGGGATCATAAGCCGCGCCCGAATGACCGGACTTCTCACATCGGACGAACTGCTACCCGGCCCCAACTCCGACCCCGACCCCGATCCCGATCCTGATATGAGCCAGACAACGTCCATAGCATTCCATGACGTCAGTCTGAACGCCGACGGCAACAGTATACATTGTCGAAAACTGTTCTGCCAGAGACCTTTCCGGACGGCAGTCCCCAGACCTTCCGCCGGACTTGTAACGCTGCCTATTGAAAAACCTGGATCCTGACCATCTAGGCATTAGACGAAGCTAGTCAGAGTACCCTGTATCACGAAGCTGGCCCGTCACATTACGAGACTACGGCCTAAGATACTTGCGGACAGGTCCAAGTGGCTGCATCCCGGCCAACGCCCTAACTCCACGCCTTTGGATCATGGGCTGAGTCATGTGGGGCCCGCTTTGACCCCATAATGGGTCATGGTTTATTATATATCTCCGATCACCGACCTCAGCTGAAATCCGAACCCGTAGTCGTTTTCAATCACCCAGACTTCGCCAAAGTATGGACAGCGCTCAGGCACAACCTGCACGAGGACATGCACGCAAACGTCGGGCGGTAGCATGCGAGCCATGCCGACAAAGCAAACTCCGATGCGACCGAAATCACCCTTGCAGCAACTGCGGACGTTCCACGAACAAAGTATGTTCTTACCTATACCCGCAGAAACAGTCGCAGAGACGCCCCGAGGGAACACGGCCACTGGGAACGCCACTCCAGCAGTTAGCAGAGCAAATTCGTAATACTAGCACGGCAGGGATAGCAGATGCTCGGTCTTCTCCGATACCAGGCATCAGTACCGCAAATACCGCACCTGCCAGTCCCGTCCCAACGCCAGGGACATGGCATTCTTCTACTTCCCTTGGGAGCGTCCTTATTAGTGGACCCTCCCATCATGAGGCAGCCTCGATTCGGAATGGAGACCACTTAGGCTTCCGCGAACGTGGCAGAACGCAAGAGCCTCCCCTAGGGGACGAACAGAGTTCGGAAGATGGACTAAATACCTTCGTGCTCTCCATGCATAGATCAAATCACTCTATCAGGGGTGTGATGGTCAAGGGGAGATATGTCGGACAAACTCACTGGTTACACTCGGCTGTACTTGTAAGCATCGTTGTCTCTGCCTAGACTTCGCTACGTGCTTGAAAATAATAATCTCGATCTAGTTTCCCATTGCGATATATTGGCTCGACCAACAGGAACGAAAAAAGTCGAAATGTTGGCAAATCATGCAAGATTGCAAGTCTATTGCAAGATTTATCAAGCTACAATGGTCGCCCCAGCCTTTGACTGGGTCTTGCGGGAGATCTCTACCGATGAGAACTCTTGCTGACCAACTGATTAGCAATCATCTGCGCACGTTTGAGACGGTGTACCGTGTGTTTCACGTACCTACTTTCATGGATGAGTACAGCCGCTTCTGGAGTGATCCGAATGATGCTAGTGACTCGACAACAATAAAGATCCAGCTTTGTCTAGCTATTGGAGCCTCATTTCACGACCACCAATTCTCCCTACGCACGAAAGCATTGCAGTGGATCCACGAGGCAAGCAGCTGGCTTACAATGTCAGAGAATATGTGGTTTTCAATCAGTGGGCTTCAGATTATGTGCCTAATCCAGCTTGCACGACTGAATGTCAAGGCATTCAGCGGTGACCAAGTATGGGTTTCGGCGGGTACATTCTTCAGAACCGCTATATCCATGGGGTTGCATCTTGACCCGTCGATACTGCCTAAAATGTCCGTCTTCCAGGCCGAGATGCGCAGGAGACTCTGGACAACAATTATCGAACTCTCACTCGCAGCTAGTGTAGAAGCAGGCGCGCCCCCCCAGATTTCCTGTCGAGATTTCAACTGTCAGTCTCCGTCAAACCTGAATGACAGCCAGCTCAATGCAGACGCCAATAACATCCCCATCCCGGCTGCGCCGCACCTTTTCACAGACACGTCCCTGCAGATATGTTTCGGCCGCTCCTTCAGCACAAGACTAGCGATTGCAGACATTCTAAACCGCCCCCCTTCGTCCCCTGCGACTTACGAGGAAATATTGAAGTTTAGCACAGAGCTTTCTCTTTGCTGTCGATCTCTAGCAGACAGCTTATGCTCCTTCGGAAACGCCGTTTCCGATTTCCAGAGGCGACTGTGCGAAATGCTTACGCAGCGCTATTTCATCATATTACATCTTTCGTACACTCCGCTCGCCTCAACTGAGCCGTTATACTATTTTTCAAGGAAGATGTGCGTTGAAACAGCTCTGAAGCTTTTATATCCTACGCTCCAAGCTTCGCTAGATGGCGATCCGACCCTTGCATCCCTTCACGCCGCGATAGACATTGGACCTAAATGTGAAGAATTTCAGCGTTTGATGATTTGCGGCTCAGGCCCGTTTCGGTCGATTCCATTTCAATGTATCATGAGCATTGCATCCGAGTTACTAGCCGTCCTTCAGGAGTCGCGTCCCGAACCGTCGCAGTTCTGTACCGCCTCTGCCCCACCGTCCTCGGCCATCATTCGAGCAAGCGCCAGCAATAGTCTTCGAAACCTTGAACTATGTTTGCTGTTACGTGCGGCTGTTTCGTGGATGGAAAGTCGCATTCTAGCCGGCGAGACAAACGTCAAAGACTACTTATTCGTCAACATACTATTAGCACATGCTGAGGCCCTCATGGGAGCCCTGTCTCCCAGTGAGGTAATGCAAAGAAAAGCTGCAGAAGCCTTGCCGCATGCTGCTGCTATTCTAAGGGGAATGAATGGTAGCGAGACCAATTGTGAGACGCCTGTTACCGAAGAGTACGGACAGGGCGATATCCATAATCTTTGGACAAATGAGTGTCCTGAACTAGGGTACGAGGATCTCCTCTCCATGATGGGGACAATCGTAGAGGAGTTTTAGAAGTCTTGTCGAGTTTGTATACAATGACAACTTACTGCGATTGAAAATATTTGATTGGGCACTCGGTAAATCGCAATCGTAGCCACTGGGTGCTAACAGCGAACAAGAGGGGTCCAGGGGGGATGGGATGTTTCCTTTCATCGCATCTAACCGTCAAGTAGACATCTCCGATGGCCCGCTCCGGAGGTCGAACTGTTTGCAACGCTGGAATGGTCGGGATTAAAGGGGACGAAACCCCGAATACCAGTAAAAGGCACCCCTTCTTACTTTTCACACACCCTTCTTCAACCCTCCATACATGCAAAGGCCGCAAAAAGAGGAATGAGGATAATTAGAAATAGCATGACTACTCCATTACCTATAGCGAATCGCCGAGATTAGCCTGCCGCACTAATCCGCCGGTTTCTCGCTAATAGCTAGTGCGCAGAACCTTTCGCCGCTCGCCCTTCCTTCATAAAGCCGACAATTTCACTGTCTCACTAAGGTCATTGCACTTATGCACTTACTTATCATTCAAGCTTTTAATGTAGAAGCGCATCATTATTCCAACACAACGCAACGCCCAATCCCCAAACCTCCTTCTCAACGATGAGAATATGAGTTTCATCACTCTTGCCCTATATAGACTCCCTAAACCAAACCCTCATCGGCGAGCCATGAAGCTACCGGCCATCCAATATGCCACCTCCCTTTCGGCACACCAGTCTAGTCTAAGGAGAAGCTGCAGTTCCCCGCTGCATTCTTCCTTCCAAAGATTACTTTCTACTACTTCTCGCTCTCAGCTCAGAGATGTCTTCCCGGCCAAAGAGACCCCGCTAATACAGACCACTCCGCCTGCGTGGCCTCACCATGGATATACTATGGAGGAGATGAAGCTTGTTGCACCGGCACATCGCCCACCTCGCACACTAGGAGATCATGCGGCTTGGAAAATCGTCCGCTTTGCCAGGTTTTGCATGGATAAGGCAACAGGCATGGACCGAGCACAAAAGGGCGATAAGAAACACCCTACTACATCGATTGCAGCGGAAAAGCCACTCACTGAGGCTCAATGGGTAATATCAACTGCTCAAAGACTTTTCTTAGCTTGCTAATCTGTCGTTCTAGCTCATTCGCTTTGTGTTTCTCGAGAGCATTGCCGGCGTCCCAGGCATGGTAGGCGGCATGCTACGACACCTTGGCAGCCTAAGAAGGCTCAAGCGCGATAACGGTTGGATCGAAACCCTCCTTGAAGAAAGCTATAACGAACGCATGCACCTTCTCACCTTCATGAAGATGTGTGAGCCAGGATGGTTTATGAAAACTATGATTATCATTTCGCAAGGCATTTTTTTCAACGGCTTGTTCATCGCTTACGTTGTATCCCCCAAGATCGTCCACCGATTCGTTGGTTATCTTGAAGAAGAAGCTGTACACACATATACCAGAGCTATTGCTGAGATTGAAGACGGACATCTTCCTAAGTGGAATAGCCCTGCTTTCAAGGTTCCAGACATAGCCGTTCAGGTAGGTTTTAACTTCACAAACTATGTCTTGATATTTTACTGATGCCATGACTTTGCAGTATTGGGAGATGCCTGAAGGTAACCGAACGATGAAAGACCTCATTATGTATATTAGAGCCGACGAAGCTATACACCGAGGTGTCAATCACACACTTGGAAATCTTAACCAACAGGAAGATCCGAATCCTTTTGTTAGCAATTTCAAGGACGGCGAGGTACCCAAACCAGCACTGAAAGGCGTCGGATATGAGAGGTCTGAAGTCATATAATTTAAGTGTTTGAGTCTTTCTTTTTCCTTTTAAATGGACAACGAATTCTCTGGTTTCTCTTATCACACATTTCGGAATAAAAGAAGGGATAAATGTAATAAATAAACGATTTATGCTAAGATATAGAGTGATTGTACGTGAAATCCATTGAATCTATAGTTAAAGAAAAGAAAGCCTTTCACAAGCTCCACAAATCACGATATCATCGCAACTTTCAACGTCACCCACGATATGTACCATATATGGTTGGCAAGCTACTTGCCACTTACGAGGACTCCCTGACAACCACTCTAGAGACAATTGGACGGTACCTCGGTTCATGTCTCGTCTAGTCCATCTGCCCCATTCCTCGCCTTGCACACCCTATACATCTTACCTTGACCCTTACACCTAGTCCTACGTCCCGTCTGTCATCTCTCACACCTTGCACCCCGGGGGTATGAAGCACTAGAACAGGTGGTTGCGGTACCGCTCGTCCTTTTCGGCTGAAGATAAGTGCCTACGCATCGTTAAGCAAGAGGAAGGAAGATGAACGCGAAGACATCTAAGGTATGCAAGTACTACGCGCACTTTGCTAGTGTTATTTAGCATGTGACCCTTGGGAAAATCTTGCTTATCTATTGCTCTTGTCATTTTATCGAATCGCAAAGAACATTATAGTTAGACGTGGATAGTGTGGGCATAGCTTTACTATTGAAAGCACGATATCGAGCCCGCTACATTCGAAACCCCCGAATCAGGGCTCCGTGGTCGATCCGATAAGCCACGGCATAGTATCCCAAATACAAAGAACGAGCAAATAACCTTTTTTTTCTCCATGTAAGTCACCCTGGCCATCAGGGCTCGTTAGCATTGAAGAAATTTAGGACTCGATAATATTGTTACTAGATATTTGAAACAAATTATGTAATTAGATTGTTAGTATAATCACCTGTACTCCGGGAGAATAACACACTTTATTGATTGATGTCCTTAAGAACGGATTTTCTCAGTAGCCAAGATAGCCCCAAGTATATCAACAGTGCGTTGAAAACGATATTAACCACTGGTCACGCCGACCGATTCCGATAGTGTTTATACGATCAGATCAGGTTACTTTTTGGTTGTGATAGTCTTGAAGTTATTATCACCGGACTTTGCGAACCAGCTGGGTGCTAAAGACGTACCAGGGCGAGACTTTTACGTACACTTCTTTTCCACAAACAGAGAATTTATCGAGGATCATATGGATGACTAGCCCTACTAGCAAGAATGCGAGAAATGTCCACGCACCTTCAGTCCTCAGCGAGCCTGTGATTGGTACGTGAACGATACAGGCCACAGGCCATTAGACCTATAGTTGTGGCTCTTTTCACTCACAACCCCTCATTGACTACGCTCAGTCGAATACATCAAATGCGTAGCGAACATTCCTCAGTCTTTCCCACCATTTCCTCGCGTCATCTTCATCCAAGGCCTCACCCTTCGCCACCGCCGCGTCTCTTTTGAATCGGATCGCTAACTGTGTTATCGCGCGGCTAATCTCCTTCGAACCACAGACGTATAGAAAACATCCCTGCCGCCACAACTGAAGCAAGGAATCCCGATCAGCCCAGACGGCGTCCTGGACGTATTTGTGACCATCAGATTCCTCTGGAGCTCTGCTAAAGACTCTCTTGACGGTCACAAGACCCTTTGATTCCCATTCACCGAGCTCATGTGCGTATATATCATCATGGCCTGGTCTTCGGCAGCCATGATATAAAACGGCCGAAGCTAGTTTATGACCGTCCTTCGCCATTGATGCCCGCTCCTGGATAAAACCTCTGAATGGTCCGATTCCAGTTCCTGCCGAGATCATAACTAACGGTGTGTTTCCTGGAGAGGAAGGCAAATGGAAAGCGTCGTGAGATGTTTTCACTGACACCCACAGCATATCATCCGGCTGTGCAGTCATGAGGTACGAGCTTGCAACGCCGACATGCTGACCAGGATTGGAACCTGTCTGTGCTTGAAAGAGCCCCACCGTAAGAGCGACTCTGTCAGGATGCACCAGAGGTGAGGATGATATCGAGCTATCCGACAATGGCAAATCAGCTTACAGACCCTTTCAAAATGACCCATTCAGGAGCTGGAGCACTTACTATTGTCGAGGACGCATGGAGGGGAGTAAATCTAGGAATTGTCCGAATGCAATGTCTAGCGCCGGGAATTGTTCCAATATATCCAAAAGTGAGGTTTTGGGACCTAGGACCTTCTGGTCGTAAGACTCCGCACTTAGATTAACTATGAGCTCTCGTTCTTGCTCAACAAGACCGCCAATTCTTGTGAGCGTGCCCAGCTGCCTGGGCGTGACTACATCACCGAGCTCGACGTATTCGCCTAGAATTGTCTGTGCGGGTACTGGCACTCCGGCTGGAAGCCCCTTCGTGTTACCCTGAAGACTAACAGTGGCATCGGACTGCAAAGCACCCTGTAGTTAGCATTCAGAGTCTTCAATCGACAAGAGGTAGACGAACGTGTAGCCTGAATCGGCGCAATGCGCGCATGACCGATTTCCTGGGATTGATGGGAAGCACGGATAGGTAATCACCAGGACGAAACTGGGATTTGGCCTGCAATTCAATCTCAATGTAAACCTTTGGTGTTTCATCTTCAGAAGTTAGCAGGCGTCGAGTAACTACACGGCCTTTGGACATGTCGATTCCAAGCTGAGAAGGCCTGGGCGTCGATACGTGTGCTTCTAGCAGACAAGGCAACGGCTTTCCCGCAGTTCCATCAACGCCGGCTAGCGGCATGGCGGCTCTCAAAGCTGGCCACAGCACCTATAACAAATAAGTTGGTCGAGCCGTGCTATGAACGAAAGAAATCAACATGACCGGTCTAAAGAATTGTTTACTCACATGGTCTTCCCAATTCTCGAACTTGACGTAAACATCTTCGCTTGCAACGTCCGCAAGGCCTGGCTCAGTAAGCCTTTGTGCACCGGCCGCCGCCATCGAGGTGTCTATCAACCTTGGGATGCGATGGAGTGTTTGTGGCCAATCATGATTTCCGCATCCAAAAACAGCGTATCTCACATTACGAAGTTCGTCTGTGCCGCGGATAGATTCGACCCACGGGACGAATTTGGCGGCGTTGTCGGGGGGTTGACCATCGTAGCTGGCCGTGAATATTACCACCGGGTGATCCTGGGATATTTTTGCAACACCTGTGTCTAGGCAGCCCAAGGACGCGACTCTGTAACCACGGTAGGGGGCGCTGGAGGCCAGGCGCTGGGCAAGCAATTCGCAAGTCCCACTGTTGGAACCATACAGTATAGCAATGGGTGTGTTGTAGTCCGACTGCTGGGACTTGGCGAGGGGTTCTTTCTGTCGTCCATTCCAGGATTCATGAGGATGTGCGTCGGCTACCGACTGAAGTTGTTGGGTGACCTGCGTAGCCGTGAGTCTGCCGCGAAGCTTTGCCTTTACGCAAAGATCCTTAGGTTTAATGGTAAGAGTTTGCTTATGCTCGAGGACATAATTCGGGTCGGCCAGCTCGAAGTCAAAATGCTGGAACATGAGTGCCATGGCAAGCACTGCCTCCTGCCACGCAAATGGACGGCCGATGCACTATTCCACGAAATGTAAGTTAATAGAACATATAGACGTGACACTGCTGTATGTATCGACTCACGGCTCTAAGTCCATTGCCAAAAGGCTTCCAGGCGCTTTTAGGAAGCTTGTTGAAGTTCTCGGGCAGCATGCGCTCGGGTTTGAACTTGGTTGGCTCATCAAAGACCGTCGGATCCAGATGCGACTTGGAAAGAAGTATGATGCATGTATCTTTCGTGTCTACCATGTATTTTCCACCCAACCATGTGGCATCATGTTTGGGTGTGCGAGACACAATGGAGATTGGCGCATCGAGGCGAAGAGTTTCCCGGAGAACCTGCGACTTAATAAGACTCTACTACCCCAGAAGCTAATGAAGACTGTTCATGAACTCACCGCTTCAATGTACGGCAGCTTCTGCATGTGCTTCAGAGTAACCGGGCCTTGACCAACGACGTCGTCGACCTCCTTTTGAACTTTGGCATATGCCTCAGGATGCCTTAGAAGTTCGTGCTATGGTCGAACCAAGTCAGAGCAGTGTCTTTACAAATCCCATGTAGATTTGATGCGTCACTCACCATGGCATAAGATAATGTTCCAGAAGTTGTCTCGTGACCGGCGATCAGAAATGTTATCAAGTTGTCGATGATCGATGCATCAGTCATTTTCTGGCCAGTCCGGGAATCTCTCCCTTCCAGCATTGCCGTCAACAAATCCTTTCGTTCTTTTCCGTGCCCAGCCATGCGTTCTTTCAGCACGTTTTCAGCCGTTTCACGCAGGATTTTGATGTTGGCTCCGTACTCTGCATCTGCTTTCTGATAGAAAAATGAGGGCAATGGTAGGCGTTGCGATCTCCGCCCACATTCTGTCAAAAATTCGCCCATAGCGCTTACAAAACGATGCTCCTTTTCGGTGTAGAAGTTGTTGAAGCGAAAACCCATGGAGCATAGCGCCAGCGTATCGAGGGCGAGTTTGGTGAAGTCGTCTGTGATGTGGATCTCGCAATCCGGTCCTTGTCTCGCCCACTTTAGGATCAGCTGCGATGCAATATCGTGCATCTCTTCAAACATATCTTGGATACCCTTAGGCCCAAAAGCTGGCATGAGGACTCTGTGCGCGATGCCCCAGTTAGGCTCGTCCCCGTGCGCCGTGAATAGCCCATCATGTACAGCATTGCGAATTTCCAACAGCACGTTGCTAGGCACCTTCTGAAATTTAGTCTCATCGCACAGCTCGTCAGCTAATGAGACGGCAGACGTGACGACGAGGCTTGCCCCAGGAAGTCGAACCCGATAGATGTCACCATACTTCTCTGCCAAGTGTATGAAAGACTTTAACGAGAAATCTGGGTCGATGTCGGTGATATTTCCAATGAGCGGGTAGCCAGGAGGCTCTGGAATTGGTTCAGGGTTGATGGCTGTCATTTTCTCGTGTTGTGTGTCTTCAAGGTCTTGATTGCTTCGGCCATACAGACTGGAACGGCTGTTTATAGTCTGGTGTGTGAAGGGTTTGCGAGCTATGAAAAGTCCGAAGTCGAGTTGGAGTCCGAGTCCAAGTCCGAGTCCAAGTCCGGGCCCGAGTCCGATGTTGTGCATTAGCATAAGTTGTTCGAGACCAATGGCCCATATAAGTCCGAGCTGCTCCACAACAGTCTTGGAAGTCGACCGATGGTAAGTGGCAGAAGAACGTAAAATCGTGAGTGCTGTTCTGTAAGGAACTGCAGCAACGCTTGTTGATCCGCATGTCGGCCAAAAAATGATCCCGCGACTAAGAGTAGCCACACTGAGATCGTGTGCACGGGGCTATTCTAGGGGATCATGCGTAGATGCTGCCAGAAGACTCTCTGAGCGTCTGACATGCCCTTGTCCGCCATGGACTCGTGCCTGACGTTTCCGTGAAGTAACGACACGGGGTACATTACCAGGGCTTGCTGGTACATGATAGCCACTGCATTGGATATGTCGTCTTCTTTACAACGGCCTATGGGCGACTTCCACGCCAGTACGTCGCCCAGCATGCATCCAATCGCCAGACGATCGAGCCTGCCTTGCCGAAAGGCCTTTTTTGCAGTTGTTGTTACTCTTGGTATTACTTTGAAGAGTATCTCGCTGCCAGGGACTAACAAGCCAAGATTGGACGGTGCTACCAGTGGGAGAAACGAGAACATCTCTTCATCGCACCTGATCAGCCTAGCCTCACTGAGAGCCCCTGGCGTAATTTGGGCAATGACTGCAAGATACAAATGCACCTCGAGAGCTAAAGAGAAGCGACAACTCAATTACGACGGCCAAGATACCTGGCGACGCTCGAGAAGGTGTTGAGCGGCTCGAAAGCGATGGAAGAAGGCGCCGCTGGTGTCACCTCTCAAAGCCTACAATTCGTTTAGTGGGGATGGGCCATATGATGGGTTAGATGAATCTTTCTCACCGCAAACAGACACATCATAAGCGATGCTATCAGGACCGGAAGAATGTCCGCCTCCTTGGCAAGTGCATTGGTGGCGATTTCGTTCTGAAGTGCCTGTATCGCTTGCACATAGCGAGTCCCGAACGCAGCCTCATCCTGCAACTTGATGGGCTCACGCTGACGAAGCTCGCAGGAGCTCAATGCATACATGCTCTGTTTAACGACATTATGTGATACAACAAGAGGGCCGATCATCGTCAGGAACGGATTAGCATGCCCAGCTTGGCTGGAGACATCATGTTGGCAGGTATGAGCAACGTAGTAACGGAACAGTAACTCAGAATCTCCGTTGCTCTCGGTGCAAGCGGCGTGAAACTCAAAGATAGGGAACGACCAAGCGGACAGTCTCTGCAAGCCAGACTCATTAGTTGGGATATCGGCGTTGGATGAGGTGTCTTGCGCCTCGGCAAGCCCCTCGCCTTGACGTGACTTGTTGGCTCTGGACGAGCGCCCAGCCTTTTGTGTCTGAAGCAGCTGTTAGATGCGTCGGGTCTTCTTCAGGGGATCAACTTCCGCTGCTGTCTGCCTCTTCTTGGCCAGATTGTTCTCCGGCCAGGTGCAGATGAGACAATTTCTTTCACACCCCATGCATGTTGGCTTGTTCTCGTCACATTTCTTTCGCCGTGCACGAGAGCTCAGGCAACCCGTTCGGCTTCGATGAAGCATGTTGAAAGACACAGAATAGATACTTTATAACACATCCTACCACATGAGGTGCGCAGCTGCTCTTTGTTGGCCCAATCTGCTTGCTCCCTCGGACTTCCTGTTGCTATCTGCAAGTCAGAGGACGAGCGGACACCATGATGACATCCTGTGGGTGGGCTCCCTGCTGACGGGCGGAGCGTGTGATCCCGCCTTCCTGTAGCGAGGGATTATGGTCCGCTACTAGGGGATAAAGCAATAAGGCACATTATAGGTTTTTGGCCTGTAATTCCAAATGAAGTACAGTGTGGTGCCATAAGTCTGCGAACGCCTTGCAGAGTTATATAACTATTATATACTTATTGTTATAACTGCTATAGATATAGAGGTAATTTATATAGACTTACTGAAGAAAATCTTAGGATTTCTACAATATTACTAATATCAGGGTTTATAATATTTTGTTAGTAAAACCAGCCTGTTACAGATCTTGGATCATTACAACCGAAATATCGTAATACCCCTGATCGTTATAGGCCAGGTTTGCTGTATATTTATTCTAGTCGGAACACGCGGGGGTAAAAGCTCAGGCCACTTTTTCAATGGACAACCGGGCTCGCCAGGCTACAGCAAGACAAAACTCCGTGGCATATCATATATCCCAATCGACCTCCAAGTCGCAGTATGGAACGTCGGCTACCTGAATTCACGTTTGATCCTTTCCAGCATGAAGCTCTACCCAACAAAACTTCAATCCGGCTATTGTCACTGGGGAAACGCCGCAAGATAGGGCCGACAGCATCTGGAAAACCACTCATTGAATGCGTTTTGCACACGGTGGACCTGAGGGACTCTCCAGCCTTCCAAGCTTTATCTTACTGCTGGGGCAATCCCCTCGGACAACCTCAGGTCGAAGCCCTAGATGACTATGCTCCTCGTCACCAGTGGCCGTTGGCCGTGAATGGCAAAATATTCTGGGTGCGGAGAAACCTCTATGAAGCGCTGTACGAATTCTCCACGCCAGAAAAGCACCCTAGCACTGGCACTAATGTTCATGAGAGGCTGAAGCCCTACAACAAAACCCGGCTAATCGCAGCGGCCGAGAAGGGCTATGTGGGAAATGTAATCAGTGAACTCAAGCGAGGTGCAGATGTTCATGCGCATGACTGCTGGGGTGAAACAGCGCTACATTACGCTGCGGAGAATGGACACTTGGACATCGTCAAGATGTTACTAGCCCATGGGTCCAGGCTTGATCTTCGAGATGATACTCGCCGCACTCCTCTTGATTGTTGCCTGATGTGGAGGCGAGGGCAGCATAAGGAAGTTGCTCAGCTGCTTCAAGATCCACCCTCGATTTGGAGTTCTACGAAAGAGCCAGACTTTTGTGAGCTTGAGTTTTGGGTTGATGCTGTATGTATCAACCAGGCTGATGCTCAAGAGCGAAATGCACAGGTAGCCCTGATGTCCGAGATCTATAAATCAGCTCTATCTGTGAAGATTTGGCTAGGCGTGTCCTCGAAGGAGACCGCAATCATCTCGTCCCTGTTACAAGCACCAGCAAAAAGGCTCGTCCATGGCCCCATATCCCCTGAGGAGGCGGATGCACTGGTTGCTTTGTCGAACCGGGCATGGTTCCGTCGAAAATGGGTCATCCAAGAAGTTACTATGGCAAAGAAACTTGAAATGGTATGGGGAAGCTACAATTTGAATGCAACTGCGGAGAATTTCTCGTATTTGCAACAGAATGAAAGCCTTCAGCAAATGCTTTCCGTCCGAGCTCAACAGGGTCGGCCCATCAAGGCGATAAGATTCACATTTCTCATGGAGTTGGGGCAGTGGCTCGCCTCCGCAAAGTCATACCCGGACAATGATGACCAAGAACCACCACCAAGCTTACTTTGGCTGGTTGCCAACACCTGGCAATTCGAATGCTCAGACCCTAGAGACAAGATATTCGCGCTTGTGGGAATGGCGCCAATAGCAAAGAACTCCAAGGAAGATGGCGGCCACGAAACCATGGTTGCAGATTATTCAATAACTACCGCGGATATTTTTATTGAAGCAGGCAGGATACTAATCGAAGCGAGAGGCGATAATGAAGCGAGTTTCAATGGTATGGAGCCATTGCAAGGGCTGAGTTGGGTTCAGTATCCTCGAAGAGAACTACATCAAAAACTAGGTGAAGCATGCGGCTACAATTTCGATCGTATGCAAGGGTTACCTTCTTGGGTGCCCCAGTTCCATCTCCCTTTAGCTACACCACCATTATGGGACCAGCGGTTCAATGCTTGTGGGAGCCATTCCCCTTGCAAGATTTGGGATTCTGATCGCTCTGTTCTGAAAATAGACGCTTTTCGATTCGACCCCATAGTAAGGCTAGCAGAGAACAGTATGGGAGGGATAGATGATACCTTTTGCCCCAATATCGCGGGCTGGTTGCAGCTAATATCGTGGCTTGATGTCCAATACCACAACAAATGTAGCCGGGTGGAGGCATTGTGGATGACCTTATCGATGGATATTTTCCAAGGCGAGGATCAAGTGAAGCTGGGTCAAGAGACATTCAACCAAACTATTTGCGAATGTTGGTCGATGGTAGAAGATCGCCAGGATGCCATGGAGCTGCTAGAAGTTCTCCGAAGCTTCGAAGACTCTTGCATCCTCCCAAGTCGGAAAGCCATCGAAGCCGCTAGCGGAAGGATGTTTCGGGGCTGGGACAATAGTCCACCTGGGTTTCAACGGCAGTATAGCTCTTATTGCCATACACGAGATCTCATGCAAACGGAGCGTGGTTACCTTGGACTAGTAAGTTATTTAGCTCGGGAGGGCGATGAAGTTTGGATCCTAAAAGGCGGACGTGTTCCTGTTGTCTTACGGCCAGTCGAGACTAAGACAGGGGAAACACACTATAAATTCGTTTGTGATAGCTTTATTTACGGGATAATGTCCGGGGAGGCTGTGCAGTCAGGAGAAACTGCCTTTACTCCGGTTGAGATTGTGTAACGAATGGACCAGTCTACCAGAGTTTAGTTCTACATCAGGTTCATCACGATAAGGGTGTACATTATTGAGAGCCCACCACGAAATACGTTAAGCAATCGCGAAGTTATAATTAGCTTTGCTCTATAAATAGCTAAGAAACTTAACTGATATTTTACCTAAGGTATATAGTTTAGACAGAGGTCTAATAAAAGATATTAATTATTTATTTCTTTTTACTATATATAAGGGTAATATCTTAAGATTAAGCTATATATATAACTATAAGCTATAACTATTTAATATATATCTTAAAAAAATTAAGCTATAGTCTATATCTAAACCTTCTTAATACTATTAAAACTTTTAAGATTATATATAAAGCTTAAGTATAAGTATTAATATCTTAAAAAAACTCTAATAAGAGCTAGCTAATATAATATAAGTTAGCTATAGCTCTAAGAGGGGATACTTATTACTATTAATTTCTCTTAATTTAATTTAAAGTAAAAAGCTAAAAATATTAATATTTAATATAGTTCTTTTAACTAATAGCTAAGATATAATTAATATAAATAACCTAGTTCTTAAGACTATAAAAATAATTATCTATATTAACTTAAGAAGGGTCTTTTCTTACTATATTTAATATATAAGCCTTTACTTAATTAAGGGCTTACTTATAGTAATAAAGCTATTTATATTATAGTAAATCTAATAGTTATATTTATTAAGCTTATTACTTTACTATAAAGTTAGCCTCTTAGTAATTAGAGCTTAAGTACTAAAAGTACTTATTAAGAATAAGAGGTAGCTTAAAAAGCTAAACTTTATTAATAATAACTTACTTATTTATACTTATTAAAATCTAAGATTTAGTATATAGTTTTAATATATTCTATACTATATTAAATTAACTTAAGTAAAAATAGCTTTTAAAAGTTAAATATAGAATTTACTAATATAGTTAGTTTATATTAGTTTAAGGTTAATATATTAAAGAAATTTTTAGGAAAGTTTATTAATTATTAAAGAGATTAAAATTAAAGGAAAAGTTTATTAAAGGTTAATTTATATTTAGTATATTTTAGTATAGGAGTTATTAATATAGAATTTTTAGATTAATAATAATAATTAATTACTTATTACTAATTTAATTAATAAACTATATATTATATAATAAAAAGATATTAATAATAATTATAATTATAATTTAAAAGATTCTATCTTAATAGTAAATTAAAAATAATTACTATAGAGTATTAGTTACTATATAATATATAATTATATAAATTTAGTAATACCTTTAAGCTTAAAATATAGGCCTCTTATAAAGTATAAGCTTATTATTAAGTTATAAGATACTAAAGGTAAAGCCCTTATAAATTTAGATTTATTAATAATTATATAAAAATATAATATTTAGGCTAAAGAGGAAGAGGAGGATTTAATTAATAATTAGGATAATATTTATTATTAATAGGAGATATAGAAGGAAATTATATATAATCTATTAGACCTAAAATTCCTCCCTTAATAAATAGTAGAAAAAACACTATATTTAAATAGAAATAGCTTTAATAGCTCTATTATAATAGCTTTATTATAAGACCTACTTATACTATTATAATATATATATTATAGGCTTAGAAACCCCCTTAGTAATAACCTCTATAAAAAAGTGCCCTTATTAGTGTAAAAATTAGCTCCCTTATAATATCAGCTACTATGCTATATTTAGGTGGCTAAATAGTGAAGTGTAGTGGTTAGATAGTAAAATCCTATTATTACTATTTCCTATATTATAGAAATAGTAAAATGTATTGTCTAATACTACTTCAAATCAACTAGTTCTTTATTTGATCTGGTCAGAGGCATAGGCCGCCAGCTTGTTCCTGTCACTAACACAAACATACTAACGCAAGAAGCATGACCATCGTGGTATTTGCTGGGGCTCCTGAAGTGATGGCTGAGAGTAATGTGGGTCGGTTGCCTTAATCTGACAGACAAGTTGCCTCATGTGCAGGTCCTAGGCCCATGGCCGCCTATCGAAGCACACATATATATGTCTGCGGCCTACCTGTTGCTGTTGCTGGTTTGTTGCTGCTTGCCAGTCTTGAAGAGGTGGGAATGATAGGGTGAGCTAGATCTCGCGAAATCGTCTATTGTATTTTACCTAGGTACCTCGCCCGCGACAGCCTGGGTGTCAGAAACAAACCCTCCAAGATGGAAGATTCCGGCACAATCGCGGCATGGGCCGCCTTGGCAGCTGCTCTCCTCGCTCTGGTTGTCGCACTGGCCCAAGCAAGCCAGCAGTATGTGGCTACAGCGCACAGCATGCGCAAGTGCGAGAAGTCGGTTTGGGGCCCGATGCCGGGCCACCCAGGGCGACGCGTCTGGGTCTGGCGACAGCTGCGCTTCCGTGTTGTCTTTGACCTGCCGAATATTTTCATCCCGAGCGAATACTGGCCTGAGCAGGGAAATACACGGCAGTTCCCCGCCAGTCGTGTCACCTCGCTGCCCGCCCCATTCGATCGCCTGGCAACAGGTACTGCACAGACGGCAGATCCGGAGATGGCCGAGGTCCGTAACTTTTCCGAGGCTGGCTGGGTCGCCTTCTCGAGACACGTCAGCTATGTTTGCCCGTCTAGCGTCAAGGTTGGACTTCAACGAGGCGACATCGATCGCCTACCAGCAGACCTGGCGGTAGTCCCAATGCAGGTCAGCCTCCGGGACGTGATCGTGTTGGGGCTAGCAATGGGTATGACGGTTGTGACGCAGGGCAATGATTCCATCGACATGAGCGGGCCGTCTGGTGTGATCAAGAGCAGTGATCACCCTTTCCTGGGAAAGTTGTTGCACTTCACAGCCTTTTCGATGGCGCCAAAGCTAAGTATCAAAAACCTCTTGACCGGAAAACTTAGTCATTCCTGGATGTTGAGGCTGCATAATACTGCGACGATTGCAATGCAGGAGTACGACGAACCCAAACGTCGGTATTATGAGCTGATGGGAATGCGGTGGCGGAGTCATCGGACACAGCTGCCTACGAGACACTGGAGCGACAGCGATGGGGATAGTGTAGACCAGCTACAAATTGCTTTCGTCGATACTGAAGGGAACTCTCACAACGTGCCTATCGAGGAGTGTGAGACATGGGAGGTGAGTGTCTTGAGTACCCCTGTGTCCTAATTCAGTACCCGTCGTATCAATTCTGAGCTTGACTAACGGGCTTTGGGGTCTCAGTCTGTACTTCGGGCTTTGGAGACAAGAAACATAGCCACTGCCCCTTATATTATTATCGGCCCCTACAACAAACCGGTCCAGCCAAAGTCCTGGAAGCCTCTTATTAAGGTTATCAAGAAAGGAGACTTTCAACAGATTTTCCAAGTACACAGTCCACTGCAATCCGTTTTGGGACCGGCTAACCTTCCCAGATTAAACTAGGGGACTATATTTCGACAAACCCTGACGCCGGTAATCCCCCCGAGGCGCCTGGTAACACAGTCCCACCCCCCGAAGCCCCAACAAAGCCTGTTGAAGGTAAAGTGGACGTTGAGATGCAGGGGAAACAAGGAATGACGGAACTGAATGCCGCCAGCATCCCAACTAGGACGTCCGCTCCAGCTAGTACAGAGGACGGGGAGGATGATAACTCAGGATTCCAAACAAACAAAACCATACCAAAGTCTACAACTTCTATGGCAATAGTTCGTAGACGACGACTTTCGCGCGAGGGAAAATCCAAGAGCAGGCCTTTATCAACATTGCTAGAGCAAGCCCCTGAGTCTGATGTCTCCGAGCATGAGGCTCCTCACATTAGATCCCGACCTTACGTCCGGTATGTCAAATCTGATCCTTCTGATGTGCCTGGGCCCGAGGCTCCTCGCGTTGTTCATCGGAGTCGTTCCCCGGTCTTCAGGCTTAACTCCTCGGACTCGGACTCGGACTTGGGCATGCACTCCTCATATTACAGACGTGCGGCGTTCGATACGCAAGAGTACTGGAACTTGAAGCGAGAAGACGCCTACGTGAATAGGCACACGCGCTACTACGCCCCGAACCCACCTATCCTCTCGTTTTTCTGGGCCGCACAGCTTGACGTCGAGCTCGGCCCCTGGGCCACGCCGTGGGCGAGGGGCTTGTACACGGATTGTAGAGAGGCATTGAGCATGCTGACAGAGATTGCCCTGGCAGGGCTGCGGCATACGGCGTTGAAGGCGCGGGGTAAGCGCTCCGATGTGAGCCTCGTGGACAAGGAGATACGCTACGTGAGCCTGAGCGACTCGGTGCTCCTCAAAGACCTCTGGGTGCATCTCCGCCAGGGCCGGCACACATGGCCCCCGTACGCGACGAATGCACGCACAGGCTTCGCCACGACTGAACTCGAGCACGGAAACGCCGAAATAACAGACTTTGGGGCCTTTGGCAATAAACTCTCTCTTCCTCCTCTATGGCTGCTGGAGTCCGTCCGGTCCGAAGCACTCCATGACAAGGGTCATGTTGGCGCTGCCGCTGCGAGTGTGCCCCGTGACCGACTCCTCGAGCTGGCCTCTATAGACTACTGGCTTTGGCAGGCGAGTGAAAAGGTGCCCGCACTGTTCGAGTCTTCAACAGATGGAGCAAACGTGCTCACGAATGCGCCAGCCATGGTGGAGGAGGTGTGGCTTGTATTTGGTGACGACATTATGCATCGGTGGAGAAAACAATACGATCGTGGTCAAGGAGATGCTCATGTGACGACTATGGCTAGAGACATAGGAAAGCATTTCGGCAAGCTCTTACACACGCCAGCCGAGCGTTACTTTGCTTGGGTAGCGTTGTTGCGAGCCGCCAAGACTATGGAATGCATAAAGGGGGGTCCAGAAACGTACGATATTACGGATATGCTTCAGTCGGACCAATTAGTTTACTTATTATAATATTCGTCCGTCTGTATATATCAACAACTTCATCATGACTCAGATAGACTCGCTCGCTTGCGGAAGGCTTAGCTAGGCTTACTATTAAACTACTAGGCAAAGGCTGCCCTCTTTTAAAAAGCTCCTGCCCCTCCAACAGGACAGTACAATATGTACATAACCTGAGCAAAATTAGGTGTACTTTCCAATCACACCCTTCTTATCAAAAGCAACCGACTGTATCTACATTGCTGATGCAACTTGGAGCATCCAGCGCTACATCCTCATGCTAACTGCAACAACATGTTACATGGCCCCACAATTAGAGGGGAATCTCAGGGGGTCCTTACTAATTGCCTCCTTACTTATTTCGAAGAGAATCTGCTCCCTCACGCGGAGTTATTATTTATACATAAATATAAAAGTAAGCTAGGACTATATCCTATACTACCTTACTTTACCTATTAGTAATTCTATAATATATCTTATTAGAATATATTAAAATTTAATAAATAAATTTTTATATTATTAAAAAGTAGAGGGTAAGATATATTAAATAAGATATATTAATTTATTAATTAATAATTTTTAGTAATTTATAAAAGATAGTTATTTATTTAATATTTAATTAATATTTTTAATATTTTTATTAAGAATATTATTTACTTAATATATTAATAAAGCTTTAATTAAATATTTAATTAAATTAAGCTTTATTAAGATCTTTATTTATATTATTTATTATTTTTAAAACTTACTTTATTAATATATTTAATTTTAATATTATATTATTTATTTATTTTTTCTTATTATAAATAAAGGTTATTTAGTTCTAAGATTAAGCTATATATATAACTATTATATATAGTTTTTAAAATATAATTTATAGCTTATACTTAAACTTTTAATATTATAAAAACTTAAATATTTATATATTTAATTTAAGTATAAATATTAATATCTTATTAAAAACTCTAATAAAAGCTAGTTAATATATAAATTAACTATAGCTTTAAAAAGAGATATTTATTATTATTAACTATAATTATTAGTAAATAAGAGAGCTATATAGTTATATAATAGTTATTAAAAAAAAAAGGGAAATTCCTAAATATTAAGAATTAAATAACTTAATATTATATCTAGTATTATAATATATTAAACTTTAGCCTTTTTATCTAGTTATAAAGCTTATATCTAACTATATATAAGGTTTAATATTAATAATAGCTTATACTTTAAATATAAGTCTTTTATTAATATAACTCCTTTTATAAATATTATAAATAAAGGCCTTTATTAGGCTATAGGAAGTTATATATAAGGTAGATTAATAAAAGCTACCTTAGTAATTAATAAAAGCTAACTTTACTTTAAGAAAGTAAAATCCTAAATAAAGACCTTTATAAACTTATTAATAAAGCTTTTATTATATATATATATTTATTCCCTAAATAGAAATACTCTCTTAAATAATTATTAATAATATTATTATTACTTTTATTAAAATTAGCTCTTTAATACTTATATATTAATAATAATTTATATAATACCTAAATAATCTAATTATATTACTTAAAATAATATTTTAATTAATTTAACTTTAATTTACTTTAAACTCTATTTAATATAAATTAATTAATTATTATATATTAATAACTCTTATTTAATTAATTACTTTATTTTAAATTACTATATAATAATAAAAAGATATTATAATTATTATAATTAATTCTACTTAGTAAATTAATACCCTTATTATTATTACTATTTATTAAGTTATTATTATTAATACTATAAATAAAAATAGTTAAAGATAGTATAGCTTACCTACCTTTAGAAATAGCAGGTCTAACCTATTAATTTAGGTAGATACTATATTAGGAAATCTTTAGCTATATTATTACTTACTACTTTTATACTAACTATAAAGTAATTAGTCCCTTACTACCCCTACTATATACCTCTATAGTCTCCTTTTTCCTCCTATTTTCTAGCCTCACTATTATATACCTATTACTCTTAGCCTAATTATAACCTAAATAATATATTTATATTTATTAGCTATTTAATCTATAAATTATCTTTATCCTCTATAATTATTATTTATTTAGTATTTTTAATACTATACTAAAGGTCTTATTTTTCCTACTCCTTTATTATAAGGTAATAACTCTACTAAGTATCTAATATTATCTTACTATATAATTAAACTAGTATCTTAAAAATAATCACTAAAGGTAATATAATAATCTTTAAGTAGCTAGCGCTAGCTAAGATTATATATTAAGTAATTAAGTAGTATAGTATATTTACTATCTTATCTCTATACTACTAGAGTTAATAGGTTACCTCTTAAGTAGATCTATAAATAGGAGAGCTATTAGCTCTTAATATAAGCTAGGAGAGCTTAAATAGGGATTAAATTAGCTATAAGGGAATAAGGTGTTTTTAGTTTATTTAGACTTAGCTAATAATCTATATTAGCCTCTATCTTATATTTAATATCCTTAATTAAGGGGTAGCTATATTATTAATAATTCTCTATTATCTTAACTCCTTTACCTAAGTTAGAAGGTATATATATTAGGAAGATAGTACTAGAGTAAGGATAAAATAGTATAAGTTTTATAGAGGTAGATTATTATTATTATTATTATTAAGTAAAAAGTATATTATTATTAGCTTATATAGGCTATTAAACTTTTATATACTATAAATTCCTTTAGACTATTAATAATATTAAATCTACCTTAAGTATAATTATATAGTAGTGCTAAGTATAGCTAGATACCTAAGTAGAGTATAATAGTATATTACCTATAGTAGCTAAAGTATTATATATTAAGCTCTAACTTAATTATATTAAACCTAGCTTATAATAATATTACTCTTTCTAATTATATCCTTAAAATACTAAAGGATAATATAGTAGCTTATATTAATACTATAGCCTAATAGGGCTAATAAGGTACCTTAGTATTAGTTAGTATAAGATAAGAATAAGATATATATATTCCTATAATATTATTCTTTATCTATTAGCTAAAATATTAAGCCTAGGAAGAACTATTCTAGCTCTAAGGGTTTCTAAAGCTATTTACTTATTATTATATTAAAGATATATAAATATATAGTATATATAAGTATATAGTAAGAGGAGTAAGAAAGCTAGTTAAAGGATAATCTTATATATAACTTAGCTATATATAGATAAAGTAAGAGTAGGATTAGGATATTTACTACTTTATTACTATAGAATAAATAAACCTATTAGCTAAACTATTTACTATATCTAGTTATATACTTATATTAGTCTACCTAGTACCTAGATAGTCTTAAGAGTAATTAGCCTTAATATATAGTTAGCTAAGCCCCTTAATATTACTAATTATATAAGGCTTATCTTATTATATTTAGTAGTAATAATTAAATTAGGAAAGTTAGTATATAGAATCTAAGGAGCTTACTTTTACTATAATTTATTTTTAGGTAGATAGCCTAAGCTCTATATCTTTAAGTATTAGAAGGGATAGAAGAGGGGGAGAGAGGGGAGAGGACTATAAAGGGGCTCTATCTATAAAATAAGGCCCTCCCTCCTTATATAATATATTAACTTTATATCTACTATTAACTTCTATATTAGCCTAAGTATATTATACTACTTTAATCTAAATACCTTAACTCTTAGCCTAAACCTACCTATAACTTATTCTTAAGATAGTTTTTAAATTTAGGTAATATAAACCTCTATAGTTTAGGCTATAAAAGTTAAAGAGGAAATAATATATAGTTTCTTTACCTCTAAACTATACCTAGACCTTAAATATAGCTAAGAATCTTAATAATATATAGCCTCCCTAGTATACTTAGGAGACTTTAGATAAGATTATTAGTATAAGAAATAGGGTTAGTATATAAGTAAGCTATATACTAACTAAAGTAAAAATAGATAAGACTCCTAGCTTACCTAATTTGCTCCTATTAATTAAAGAGCTATTAAAAGCTATATAGCTAAATAACACTACTAATTCAGCCTCTTATATCTAGATAGATAGTAACACTAAAAGTAGTAGTAAGACTTAGGGTATATACTAATTCTATTCTAAACCTTAAAAAGGATAGAGTTAATAAAAGACTATAGATTATACTATTATTATTAATAAAGATATAAATTTAGATTATAGTGTTAATAATAGTAAGTCTCTATAGTCTCTAGATAGCACCTTAGCACCTACTAGTGGTAATACTAATAGGTCGGTTAATATTATTATAAAATATAATATAGATAGTAATTAGCTCTCTGCTACTAAAGAGTTATTATATATATAAGCTAAGTTAGATTCTGCTCTTATATATAGTAAAACTATTAATTTCTTAATAGACCCCCCTATTAAAGTATTATACCTAGCTCCTATTATTAAAATAAGTATTAAGAGGGCTAATCTTAAGAGTAGTAATATAGAGATATAGAATAAGAGTACTAATATAAGTCTAGCTATAAATAAGCCTCTTACCCCTCCTTTAATAGTAGATAAGATATTTAATAGTAAGTAGAAAGCTATTAAAATTATAGGTAAAAAGATAATTAATAGTAAGTAATACTATAGAGTAGACTAGAAGCTAACTTATAAGCTAGAGGAGAATTATATAAATATAAGGGAGTTAATTAAAGAGTAAAAAAAGTTAAAGATATATTAATAGAAAGGAGGTAAAAGGACTAAGAGCTAGACTACTTAACTTATATAAGAAGCTAGAGTTTCTAAAAAGGCTATAAAGAGTTATAAATAAGGAAAGATAAGTAATAATAATAAAGACTCTATAAAAAGGCCCTATAGCTACCTATATAAGATATAGTATCTTTATTTTAATTAATTTAGTTATTAGAGAGCTAATATATATTAAATTAATTTCTATTATATTATTTCTTTAATATAGTATATTTATAACTCCTAGTAGTTACTTCTAAATAGGTAATATATACCTACTACTTACTATTAGGGAATATCTTATATAACCTTTACTCTATAAGAAATAATAGCTACTTTAATAAGGTTAATAATATATTATTATCTTTTAATTCTCTCTTATATTATCTTAATAATAATTATATAAAGTTATTACCCTATATATTTTATTATACTATATAATTCTAGTTTTATTCCCTTATATTAATATTAGCTAGACTAGTAGTAAGCTAGCTATTATTCTTTAATCCTATTTATATTATAGCTAATAGTATAATAAGTTATTCTATAGCCTAAAATAGTTAATAATCATGCTAGGTTATCAAGGGCAAGCTGTTTCTTAAGCCTTAGAAGTTAATATTTCCTAAGTATATAATTATAAGACTAAAGGCTTATATTAAGCTTAGCTTAGACTTTAGCTATTACTAATTTTATATAAGTAATCTAGGATATATATACTTAAAAGATAAGATTTCTAAAGTTATTAGGAAGATCTAGTAATATAAAGTCTAGATTATTAATAAGTAATTCTATAAATCTTACTAAGGCTAATATAACTAAGGACTATAACTTTTAATTAACTTCCTTTTCTATAGCTACCTTAATAATAATAGGAAGTTATTCTAAGTACATTAATATACTTAAGAAGTCCTTAAGGTTATCTTTAGATAGCTTTAAGAGACTATTAATTTAATAGTAATTAGTAACTATATTAATATCTATATAGAAAATAGCCTAGCTAGCAGTAGAGTCTAAATAAGTATAAATATTAGTATAGAGATACTCTAATATAGCTTTAATTACTATAGGCTTATACTCATCTATATAAAGGTATATATATATAGCTTCCTTTATTTTCGTATTAGTGGAGAGTTTCTCAAGAGGATTCTATCTCATTGAGATTCATTTCTCCGATATTATATTTATACGACTACACGATAATAACTTCAATGAGCTCCAGGCAGATCTTGGCAAACTGGCGAGATTGGTTCAAGCTCGATCTAAGAAGGCCGGCCTGCTTTTCTCCGTTGATCATATTAACTGCCTGTTTGAACGGTTCTTTGCTAAGATTGATAGTTTCTTGGCTCTTAGCTTTATAGAAGCAGCCAGGGAAGATTTCCCAGTGAGACCTGATGTTATAACTTATATGATAAATTTTATGGACTATGTTAATTCCGCAAGAGACCTGATGATATTTGGGGCAGAGATAATTGCTTCGAGTATACTTCTCGATAATTACCGCCCTAGGATGCATTGTTGGTCGCCTAGCATCTCCTAACCTAGCGCTGCTGAACTGACTGGTGTTAGTGTTTAACCCTCGAGATATCTTTAATACCCTATACCGAAAGCACTGTATTAAAGCAAGCAAGCGGACTTTACGGCGTTGCATTAGTGACTTAATCGTGCCTTATGACCTAATAGAGCAGATACTTAAATATTTGACAAGTAAATTTCAGTTGCTCGATGAAAAGTTATCCCTTGAGGTCCACAGGGCTACGCTAAATAGATAATGGGAGCACTGGCCGACACTCAAAAGTGATGACATGTGCCTGGTCTGTCTCACGCGGGTGCCGCAGCATCGTCTACTATGCGGCCACAAGATCTGTGAAGATTGTATGTTACTCTACTGTGACTCAGAGCCGAATGACCTATGGCAGTTGATGTATGAAAAATGTATCTTGTGTCTCGAGGACGCAAACATGATGATTCGCATTCGCCCTCCTAGTGCTGGCGAATCTATTCTCTGTATCGATGGCGGCGGAGTTAGAGGAATTATTCCCTTGATGATGTTAATTGGTGTTCAAGAACCTCTCGACCTCCTAATACCTGTTCAGGAACTCTTTACGATGGTATATGGAATAAGCGTTGGTATGCTGCCTTGGTCCTCCGAAGTAGTATGTGCTAATAGAATGCAGGGTCCTTGATAATATTGCTGTTATATATGAAAGGATGGTCCCTAAAGAGGTGTGTAACTGAGTTTGAGATATTGGCTAAGGATGCCTTTTAGCCGGAGTTAGTAGGTCTCCTTCGATGGATCTTGTCATTCTTTACAGACTCCGTGTATGAACCTCAAGGGATTGAGAAAGCTTTGATGAAGTTGCATGGCAATAACAAGATGACTGATATCTCCTATGCCACCTATATTGGTGCTAAAGTTGGCGTGTTGGCTGCTACCACTGAAAACCCTTCTGTCTATCTCTTCACTAACTACAATGGCGTGGGCAACCTAAGAAGCGGCTATCATGTTATTAGAACGAGCGAGAATGCAGAGTTATGGGAAATGTAAGTCTTTTCTTGAGCCTCTTAGGCGGTAAACTGACTAGCTATAGAGGAAGAAGCAGCTCTGCAGCCCCTGTGTAGGTTATATAACTAATGTAACTAACTCCTACTGATATAATTATAGATACTTCCCCCTAAGTATATTCAAGGAATTGGTAGTTTTCAGGATGCCGGCATATTGAAGAATAACCCAGTTGCCCTGGTATTATCGGAATATTATGCTCTGCACGGCGATAGAAAGCTAGATATTGTGTTGAACCTCGGTACTGGTTCAACACTGAGCCCGGTGCCCCCGGGTTAGAAGTTGGGTTGAGCCAGGAACAGATGGTGGCCGTACCGTGTGGTCAGAGACCTCCTTAGCACTATGGAGGGAAGGAAAGAGTGGGCAAATATTTTTGGTGTTATTTACAGCTTAAATCGTAGGGACAGGTTCAAACGATTTGATATTACTATGGATAAGCTTCCAGCGCTTGACGATGTTAGCTTGATACTGATGCTGAGATCCTTGGTTTACCAGGAGCCGGGCTTGCAAGAAGAATTTGATAGTATGGCAAGCCGACTTTTCACAACGTTATTTTATTTTGAACTGGAGTAACTTCCTATCAAGTCAGGCAGTAAGTTTTAGGTGAGTGGTAATATTTTATGTTTGTGAACCACATTGGACCTAGCGCTTCCGAAGATTTTCAACTGGTTGAAGAATACGAAAATTATCGTAAATGGAAAGCTAGTCTAGTTGAATCTCAGTAAAGTCTGGTATGGGAATATTCACGGCGCTATCTCGTTCCTTTCGGGCGATGCAATATAGATTGATATGAAGGAGGATGGCGTGAAACGGGCCTTTCCACTCAGCGGTACACCATGTTCTTTGCAAAATTGGTCGCTGCAAGCGGTCTTGCGGACTACTTTGGGAATCGGCCTCACAAATGGGGAGCGGTAAGGTATATTGGTGAGCTGGGTAAGAGCGACTCTAACGATAATGGACGGAATCTTCGCAAAAGAGGAGCAGAGTGTGATATTAATGACCGGCCCTTAAAGAGAGTTAAGTATTAAAATAGTTCTAGGATAGCCTTCGTAATGTAATTGTTATTTTCTTTGAATTCCACTACCTAGATATTGTTACTGCGGTCGTGGTGTTATGCGTACATTTGTGTGAATTGACTGGCTGGCTGGTGGCCTTCCCAAGCATAGCTCCGGCGCAGTTTATAATTGGCTGCCAGTATAGGTTATCCGAAAAATACCCGAGGCCCAACTTCCCAGGAAGTCTTGGTGCTAGATATTCCCCTGGGCCAGGGGCAGATTGATTTTTCTTTCGTTTCTCTTTGTGCTACATCTTCAATAAAGAACTTGACCTATACTATCAATTAACCTCGATTCCTCACAGACAGCCCTTTCATTGGGACGGCCTTTCCCAATGGCAGTGTCGCATGCGAGGGCATCTGTTTACGCAAACTTGCGTACCCGAGAATTCGCTTACGTAGATGCTGAAGAACTCCTTAGCACTGCAGGTCTTAGCACTCTAGGCTTTAGTCCTACATGCCTTGATATTACAGGCCCCATAAAGCAAATACGCCCAGGGCCCCGTAACAATAAGCCTAGCACACCTCCCATTGAGGTTCAGGAACATAAGTTTTCCATCCCAATTGTCATAATATATATGGCCCGACGATCAGCAGGGTATGTCCCTTAAGTGACGTCCAGTTCTGCACATGATCAATCCCATTGAACCAAAAGATTTGGAATACTTGCGCAGACACACCCCCTAGATAAGCCGCTGGACATCATCCTTCCTACCGGGCTTGGCTTCGACAAGTTTGGTCTCATAGCCTATGAACAATATGCTGCACCGGGTTTGTCAATTTCAATCGAGATTCATAATTCGATGATCTACCTCGGGTTACTGTGACGACTACTCAGGATATATGAGGTACATTTGGACAGCGAGAAAGCCCGCACAGTCTTATGCTACTCCCAATTCAAGCTCTATCTCGAGCATGTAACAAACCCTAGAAGACTGGTCGTAGAAGATGGCCATTACCGGCGGCCGAGCCTATGAGAATGCTTGTTCCCTCAGTATCGCAGAACTGACCAAACAAACTAGATCACCAGCGACCTAGTGTCAGTGAGTCAGTGGGTGGCGAAGCCGAATGTAGGCCTCGAACTGGGCCCTCATCAGTATTGATTCTACTTTTGGTCTGCAAGCAAATCTTCGTGGTTCAGCTCCTCAGAACCAATGTCCACAGAAGCTGGCAGGCGAATGTAGATATGTAGTTGATGTAAGAAGAGATGAGTGTGTGGGCTAAATAACGGGGAGCTGAAGAAAGTTCCAGCATGACGCTTCTCGCTCAGGATCTCGTTGCGCTCGGTGGGAAGCCTCCCTCACATTTGCGTCAGACGATAGTGTGAGTGGAGCAGTAGTGGACTTTGTGAGGTTCTCATCATAGATGATAACGGTTGGGTGAAGCTTGAGTTGATTCGTGGCATCGCCAGCCCTTGATTTGTTGTCTGTGTAGCGCAAACGTTCAGAGCGCCCAACAAGGTCTCTGCCACTGTACGTCGTGGGTATGCATATATGAGGGATTCTGTCTCGTAAGCCGACAGATTGGGCCAGAGCATGAGCAAATTCGCCGCCCACACTGATGACACAGTCGGGGCTAGTAACAGATGCGACGGCTGAGAGTTTATCCGTGACAACCTGAGAATCCATGCAACGGATTAAGGATTGGATCCGATTCGAGAGGCTCAAACAGGAGGAATTAGACACGATGAGAGGGGCTGACAAGTGTAGCCTGGCCAGCACGGCGCGCAAGCGGCTGATAGCATTCTCTCCGATAATAACATGTGGGGATGAACCTCCCGACCGCTTACGCGGTCGGGGCCTGGTCCTGGTAACAGCTCTCCGGGCCCGAGCCGTGTCTACCGAGGGGGATACAATGGCCTTGATGCTAATAGTATCCGGGTCGGGAATTAGTAGAGGCGATGGCGGTATTTTATTAGTGCTCGAGCGGGTCATGACTGTTGGAAAGGACGGGCTTTATTGGGCTGGGTGGAAGATTTGAGAAGTCAAAGGCTGCTGAAAATGTCTTGATGATTAGGCTCTGCAGATACACGGACGGTTAGAAAAAGCAGATACATGAATCGGTGAGCCTCGTCATAGTCTTATACCTGATTATTCTCTACGGCTAAAGCAACGGTAGAGAGAGCCTCGGAGCATAATGTCCGTGCTAATTCTACCCAAAGCAATAAGCTACGCGAGAGGGGGAATCCTGGATCCACCAAGACCCTGAAAATGGCGTTACAGGAGGGAGACTCGAGGACTTGACGTCATTGTCAGAAGTGGGTCATCCCTGTAAATTATGCCGATCGGCGTGACTAGCGTCAACTCTGGATGGGATATCCCTGCGGAATTGAAGCCAGCGGGAGTCGCTGCTGGATTTTTCAATTCCAGCTATGTCTGTCTTTTTCCCTATCTATTTCCCCTCATATTTCCCTTAGGCATAGTGCAGAGGAGGGAGTAACATGGGTGGGCTTTAGTTAAGCGCATTGTTACTCTTATTTTACACAGAGGGTGGAATATAGTACAGAGAGCTTTCAGGTAGCTTTTAGTTACTCAGAGTGATAGACCCACTCACTTCCTCTGTCATACTCCCAAGGCACATCACGTCAAGAATCTTTGGGTCCCTGTCTTTCTCCACTTAAACACGACTGCTATTGGACTGTCACTGCTGGAAACAAAGACGTAGAGAATGATCAGCACAACTATTACTGCTCATCAACGCCATTGACGCTCCGCGCCGGATAAGCCTACGCCAAGTACGTCAGCATGAAACAATGGATTAGGACCTCCCTCCTCCCTAGAGATACATCCTCTTCTTGGTCACTTCTGATTTTCGCCTTATCCTCTGTTCCCGGGAAATTAATTTTTTGCCTCTACCGGCATTGAGTTTGAAGCATTTGAAGCTCAGTATTATCATCCCAATCGATAGGAATAGCTATTACGCGCTATACTACACCACCATCAAACCTTGAGCGTTAATTCCTAATCAATTATCTTCTCCGCCATCCCTCCACTCTAACAACTCCGCCTTTCTTTCCTCGCGTTCCTCACAGCTACAGTATAAAAAGAGCATAAAAGAAGGACCATTTTAGCTACCTAGACATTAATATAGACTCTATTATGGTGGATCTAAGACTAATAATACCGTTCTATAACTTCTTGAATAAGCCCTAAAAACCTACGTTTATAATATCTCCTTTAATTTAGGACTAATAGCTTAACACCTCTATCCTATTATTAGGCGATTAAATTAATCTTAATAAATTAACTAAGGCTAAAGATAATAGCGATATTAAAATAATTAGCTTATATAGCTCTTATACTATAAGTATAAAAAAGAATTACTATATATTAAGTAACTTCTTAATCTTATCCCTTACTTCCTCTAGTTTATTATAGTCTTCTTATAAAATAAAAAAGTAAGCTTATAAGCTAAAAACTAAAAAGTAGTAGTAGTAATTAAATTAAGAGCTAGTTAGGGATATATTATATACTAAACGTAAGTAATATCTTAAATAGAATTAGATAGCTATATCTAAATATCGCTAGAAGAAGAAGGATTAAATATATAAGCTTAAAGAGATTAGGAGGTTATTATAGTTAAAGTATTATAATCTATAGTATAAATATAATATACTATTAGAAGTAGTCCTCTAAATAAAGAACCTCTTAATAGCTTACTAGAGTTATTATAATTATAATATTAATTAATAGATTAATAATAAAGCTAGAAAATTTATATAATAGTTAATATATAGCTCTATTATTAAGCTAGGAGATTATATCTTTAGATTTAATCCCTCTAGAATTCTTTCCTTATTAGCACCTAATACCTAATAGTTATTATTAAACTCTAAATTATAAGTATATTATTATATCTCTCACCTCTAATATATATTAACGGTATTAAATTTAATATCTTTCCTTAAGCTTTAATTTCTTCTTTTCCTTCTAATTCCATACCCTATGTAGCTATTACAATAGATGCTCTAAAGCCACTAATTAATGCCACACTATCTACTAATATAAGGGGTGATGCTCTCCCTTACAACGTTTACATCCCACCCACCCAGATAACCGGCTATCCCCAGTCGAACTAGGGAACTTGGCCGCAGGAGCCAAGCCCCCGCGACCCATCAGTGGAGCGATCCAATATAGACATGATTCAGGAAGGGAGCAAGCTAAACTAGTAGTTGAAGAAGCGAGTCCTACTGATCAAATAGTTTGAATCGCTGCCTCTTGCCTGTTTAAGGTATAACTGAAACGATTCATCTGAAATAAAACCCACAAATTATTTTGATCTGTTGCCGGAAATGACTTTATTTACTCTGCTAGGTTTTCCATTTGTAGAAACAACAATTTGCTCTCCATCGGTGCCAGCATATATCTCCTCGATCATCTGGTAGCGTTGCTTATTACTTCTGCTGTAACTTGGCTGGCTCAAGCCTATCACCCTAGAATATACTTGGTTTGGTATCTTCTCGACCATCTTAGGTGGTGGACTTCCACCACCTGAGTGGGTTCATCGACCACACACGACAGCATCTCCTGAGTTCACGGCGAATGCACCATAACAAGCCCAACCGTTTGTGCTTCTACTGTACACACGCTGCTTGACGAAAGCCACACGGATGAAGTTGGTGACGGATTAATCATTCTGAGCCCCGACCAGGCCCAGCGTATCGGCCAGTTTCGAAACCAGATCCACTTGAGCAAAACCGACCGAGATAGCTACGAGATATGTGTGCGCACGAGAAACGAGCCACTTAACGAGCACACCGGAGGACAACTTCTGGTCGCCGCCTATGAGCATGTGATGTTAACCCAGTGTACCCGGCATAAGGATTGGAAAGAGGCCGTAGGCAAGTCAACGATCAAGGAGACGAGGCTAGACAGGAATGACACGGCAGAATAAGGTGGATTCCTTACTGTGCCAAGGAGGGAGACGACATCGAATCCAAATGCCATGTCGCTCTGAAGACGGTGGCTCTGCACGGAACTGCTGGCTTACGTGGTCGCTCGTCGGTGTGCAAGAGGGCATTGTGTCTGGACCTGTTGCAGCCCCCTGGCTTGACCGACCAGCACCCGAATCAAGTATCTATGGCTGGTTGGCATTGTCATAGAGAAGTCCTGGGTAAAGCTATTAGCTATATCTAAATGCAGACGTAAAAGTATGCCTCAACAACTTACAAATGGGAGAAAAAACAGGGGAGCTCTTCTTAATAGATGCGATGATTGCATCCACCGTCGTAAGCGTATCGTCTGATCTTGAGTCGTCTATATCCTGGTAGCCGTTGGAACTCGCTCCTTCATCCGCGTCAAATGTATCCTCACCATCAGACGAGATGTAGATCGACTCATGAGGCCCTTGTCGACGCAGGAGGTTAGGGGAAGAAAGGTTCTGGGGACAACATGGGCTTCTGCTGGTTCCCATGATTGGCACGCCCCGGGAAAGTTTCAATGAACTACCTCCTCCATCTAGCATGATCTCCTTCTCTGCACCCTTGATTGCTCCAATGCTATACTATATCTTCTTAATTCCTTCTCTGCCTCGGTAGGGATTATTAGGAGTCGGGATGGCGATGCTAAGGAAGACCTTGCGTTATTTGTAGAATAAGTTGACGCCGGAGGTTTAGCGTGATCTACTTGGCGACAGGGCTCTGAGCAGTAAGTTGCTCCCTCTGTTCGCGTATTACAGCTAAGGCAGTAATCATACTCCATCCTGAACCGAAATCAGACGTCGGAGAGTGTAAACAGATCTGCCAGAGTCGAGGGCGACTATAACAATTGCTGTTACGCCATTCGTTAGTACGTTGGTCTGTTCCTAATCGATAGCGCCCTCCAAGAATGGTTGATAGCGGCGGAGAAGCGGCAGGGGTGTCTCAGAGGAAATGAAGATATGATGGCAAGAAGATATGCGAAAAGTTGGGCCTGAACTGAAGAGTTCGCAAATGGAGGTGGTTGAGTGAAAGCCACCACTCTACTGGCTGCACGTAATATACGTAATACGATTGGCTAGGAATTTCCGCTTACATACATAGCCATATCCTACCACTAAGCTTGAAAAAGATAGCCGAAATTTTCCCACTTACATGTGAAAGGCCGAAACTGTTGGGTGCCTGAGAAACTGGCAGATATTTGCTCCATTCGTTTCCCACAAAGGCCCCACGGCATCTACTAGCCTTGATATTGTAAAGCTTATTGGCACATTATCTGCGAAATGACCAATCAAACCAATCAGGACCGAGTCTTTATTCTCATCGGCTCCACAGCGCTCTTCAAACCACAAAATGACGGGCAGGTCGTTGGTCCAGCGGACACTCAAGACATCATGATCAACACTGAAAAGCAACCCAGCCCAAATACCACTTACATACTGTGCAACCTGCGGCGAAGTGAGGCGACTAGATAGAGTTGAACTAAGCAAAATTTGGTTTCAGTGGCACGTACATTAGACTCAATCATCGCGGCACGGTATGAGATGGGTTCAACCTTAATGATAGTCAGGTGATCATACCTTTTTTCAAGTCAGCTGGACCGTACCACGTGAATACCAGTTTATTCATAACATATACTTGTCAAATATCAACGACATGGTTAATATGTCTATGCAAATCGGTGACTTGGCATCCACCTCACCTTACATTAACACAGACTGATCCACAGGAATGATGAGTTTCGGAAATCTTGAGCTTGGCCACGTAGTCGGCTCTGGAGAGTACTCTGATATGAAACTAGTGTGCCAAGGATGCGAATTCAAAGTACACAAAGTGGTCGTGTGCACACAATCTCCGGTGCTCGCCACGGCTATTCATTGGGTCTTCCAGGTAGGAGTGGCTTACTCGGATCAATATGGGGACTAACCTGGAATATAGGAGTCGAGGACGGGTATTATCAACATCGAAAATTTCGAGCCCAGCACAGTCAGCCGAATGGTAGAGTTTTTGTACACAGGAGACTATGGTGATCCGTTATTCCCACACACTGAAGGTTTCGCGGCCTTCCTTCGCTCTAGTAACTATTTGATTAACCCTAGTATAGCATCATTTCCGGATGAGATAAAGAAGCCGACCTCGGACGATATTACGGCAAGTGGGATGATGCTACAACACGTACAAATCAATGCAATTGCGGACTACTACAACATAGAACGACTTTCCGAGCTCTCCAGGTCCAAATTCCAGCAAGCCTGTCAATCTACTTGGGATACGCAGTCATTCATAGACGCTACAAGTGGCGCCCTAGGCCTATCAGGCGATGGGGCTTTGCATGAGGTGATAGCTACCGAAGCAGCAAAGAATATCCACACACTCCTCGAAATAGATCACTTTGCTGATCTAATTGGCGAATTCGGTACTCGAGTTCTACGGAACTGTATCAAAAAGGCCGAAGCAGACCAGCACAGGGTGTTTCAACTTCGGTTTGACTTGGAACAGGAGCATTCTAAACGACAAGCTGCGGAAGCTAGGGCAGACCGTATCATCGAGAACATTGGGAGATGTGTTCAGACGATGAGGGAAAGGGGGTTTTGCCGGAACCACAGCTGTATGGCTGAATATCAATGCTATATTGAGCGGCGAGGTCAATCTTTCGAACCCCTGTATACTCTTAGGTGTGCCAAGTGCAGGTGTAAGAACTAAAGGTGTAGGGACTAATTTAATCTAAGGGAAAATCTACAAATCCTCGTCTTCTTCAAAAGTGACTGTGAACAGTGTTGCATGCCTGATCTGGCGCAGCTGTATTTTCTCCCACAAGAAGGTAAATTTTACCGTCCCTATTTGTCCTCTAGGCAACGAGGTACACACCTAAGCGATGAAAACAGCTCAGCGCTGGCACCGAACGACGGTCGGGCATAGCCCCTCATACAGATCATGTCACCGCCTGATGGAAAAGGCTGGCCTGACTGTGGGCACTGTACCCATTTGTAGGTAGAAATTACACCCCAACGGCAAGGGAAGCCAATTGACTGGCAGCGAAAATGCTGGTGGTTCACGGGGCCGAAGTCACTCCGACCCTGGCCATCGCTCTATGACGAACGCAACAGGGAACAATTCGAAGGGCAAAAGGTATGCTCCTGCGACTAATACACAGAAGACGCTTAAGTCTCATAGTTCGACAAGTAGGACTTATGATCGCCCCAAAGCCGGTCGCTGCACTGTTCCTGCAGACTTCCGCTGCCTGGACTCTTCACAAGACGACCGAAAAGGCTTATTATGAAATACCTGAATGGCACGACAATTGCTCCGTAATCAGCATCTCCAGATTCAGGCTTTGCTTTTCACCGAGAGATCGACCCGTAAGATCGCCAAGAAGGTCAAATGCAGCGAGCGTGTTCGTAGAATTCGCTCGAATGTGCGCCGATTCGGAACGACATGGATGCCGCATAACCGATCCGATCGCCGTCTGTGCATCGCAACATGTATGCTAAATGCACTGCACGAAGAGCTGCAAAGGAGGCCCTTCATGTACCGTGAGGAGATAGTCTCATCTCTCCGCCATGAGTACGATGCAGACGTATCAGTAGCATCACCCGGGCTACGCAGTCCGCGGGATGGTCGAAGAAGGTAACGCATCGGGTCGCGAAGCAAAGGAGCTCGCTCCTATGGCACATGTATTATTGAAAGCTTTCCAAGTACACGTCGTATCACTTGCACTTCACGACGGAAAGAATAGGCTCCCATCGGAAGTGCGCCGGTTCACTTAGCAAGTTCAAACGCGAGGTCATGCACCAGTTCATCTCGGCATACACTCGAGACCGGGTTCTGCTATCGCGGGCTTTCCGAGGCTCGACTCCATGTTCGAGGACATCATCAAGTAGCTGTTTCATCACTATACGTAGGCCAAGCCCGTCCTGGTGATAGACAATGCAAGCTTCCATACGGTATGCAAATTCAGAGAACTTTGCTCTGCGGTAGGGGCAAAGATCATATTTCTCCCGCCATATTCTCCAAACATGAATTGTATGGAGGAGCATTCCGGCGAAGTCATGGGGTCTATGAGGAAAGGAGTACACGCGAGATACCAAAGCCCTTTCCTTCGGATGCTTTCTAGAGTGGTGTATCTCCATCATTTTGGGGCAAAGCGTGAAAGCGCAAAGAGATATTTCCGTCGTTGAGGCATCACAATAGAATACCCGGGATAGGCCCAATATTTCGTAGGGAGTCTGAGCCGTGTACTGATCTTATATGTATTCTGAGTCGCTAGGAGGACATCAGATAAGCCGCAGCATAGCTAAAAGAGATACAATTTCATCGCCATCCACGGTGACCACAGCGTCCTGATTCGCCCTGCGGCAAGATTTGTAAAAGTCGCACTCCCCCAGTCTGCACACGTAATGCACCTTCCGGCCTTTCTCGCGACACGCCACCTACATCTTGCTTGAGCTTCCGCAGTGACACAGCGGATTGCTAGGATCGTTGCCTCGATCATCAGCGAATGCAAGAAACTGTCCACAACAAGTGCACTTATAGTAGGGGCGTCCTGCGTTTCCGTTTCGGTTGGATGTGCGGGTGATGTGCTTCTGACTTGGCCCTTGGCATACAAAGCAAGTAGGGGGGTTCTCAGGGGGCGGTGCAAGACTAATCCTTCTTACTGAACCGACATCAAATGATATACAAGGCTAGGCGAAGTGAGCTTGGGTCCATAAAGAAAGAGTTTGGCCTCCCTTACCATATTCGAAAGCCTGGAGTGGTTGGGGCTAGTTATAGTCATTGCAAAGGAGGTTAGTGCTTAATGTCTATCACTGCAAGAAAATGTCCGTGATTAAAGAAGCTAGAGAGGACATACTACACATACTTATAATTGCGCCCGTACGTGGTAATTGCCTCTAAATTCGCATGGAGCGATCATTCCTGAAGATGCAAGAAAGTTTCTTAGGCGTTAGAATAGCATCAGTAGCTTTATAGCAGCAAAGTTAAGTTTTAGCGGAACACTTTAAGGCAGGAATGTGAGCAGGCACCATCTTAAACGAAAACGGAATTACAGGCGCACCAGTCGGTGAGGTGCTCTCGATCGCAGTAAAGAACGGAATGCTTTACTATAAGAGATAAATATTATAGAAGAAAAAAAAGGGAAATAGACCAAAAATTTTTAATGTTTTGTTAGTGACGATAGGAAGGTGCCGCAAATAGGGTGTACGCCGAAAAATTCATGGCGGGAGAGCCAATACGTCGTCTCGCAAAGTGTCGTCTCGCAAAGTGTCGTCTCGCAAAGTGTCGTCTCGCAAAGTGTCGTTTGGCAATGGGTCGTTTGGCAATGCGCCTTTCCAAAATAGTGCGAAGAACAGCGAGCATCTAACCTAACCAATCACTTGGCAGTCTTTCTCATTTAGCTGTATATCTGCCATGTGCTGCCGGATTAGTAGTCGGACCGATCGTGCTTATGGGGGTCCCAAGTTTTTCACGGTACGTACCTAACTTGGCCCATGTCGCAGTCCAGGCACCGATCGCAATGTCGCAGCCATTTTACACTTTATATTATTATTTGAATAGCACTGAGGTTATCCCACATTTAATGTAAGATACATCGGGATATTATTATAGGCAAGTTAGAGGGTAAAGAAATAATCATTAACTCGGATATAGCCGTAACTATCCCTTGCTCGATGAGCGCGGTCCGCAATGCCTAATAGCATTAACCCCACTTTAAAGATATAAACTAGGTAATTCACGGAAGTAGAGACTATATCCTCAGATGGGAGAGTTAAGTTCGGGGTATGCCCGTTAAGCAATCAGCTAGTGACCACGTAGTAGCTTAAACGCTAATGAGTTCATCTGCTAGGTTTCGTTTATCTTCATTCCAATCTTCGGAAGTGTCCCTAATGAGTATCGACGTGTATAGTAGTAATACTCTAGAGAACGCGAACAATCTAGTTGCTTGGCTCTCCTCTCTAGTGAGTAGTATAAGCTTAGAGTTTTTCTATGGTACTCTTAAATAAATATTTCCTATATCTCTTATTTATAATACCTATTTTATCTTTTACCCTAAAATATTAATTAGCTATAGTATATAGAACTCTATTACTCTTCTTCTTATCTTAGTATTTAGATAGTCTTTTACTTAATTTTTACCACTCCTCTATAAGCCTTATATATCTAACTCTTAAATTAGCTAGTAAAGCTAATAAACCTTTAATCTAGATAATAGAGGTAAGCTATTTCCTTATAAAAGTATATTTATAGTTATAGGCATACTATTTCTTAATATTATAGAGAATAGAATAAGTAGTCTTAAGTTAGAGAGTACTATTAGTCTATATTTAATATTTACTTTTAAAGAAAGGCTAACTTACTAATTAGGAAAGAGCTATAGCTTCTAGATTCTTAATATTTTTATTAGGGTAATATCGCTTTATGGAGTTATATATATACTAATTAGATATATATTAGGAATAAATTTAAAGGATATATTAGATAGGGTATAGTATACTATTTATTATATAGCCTAACTCTAGTAGGAAGTAATCCCGAAAAATAGCTAGGTTAATATATAAGATACTACCTTAATATAGCTCTATTCCTTATATAGTACCTAAGGCTTATAGGTATAATTATAGTTATTTAAGAGGCTTTCGCTAATGCTAAGACTATAGATAATCTTATATATATAAGTATAGTTTCAACTATAGTTAAGCTAGACTACGCTAATAAGCGTCTTAATAGTAGTAGCACCTATAATAGGAGATATATAACCCTTTTTATGCTAGATATATCTAAATAAATAGCGTAAGGTAGTATTACTCCTTAATTTAAAATAGAGTAGCGTTTAAGGCTTTAGCTAAATAAATACTTTAATACTACCCTAGCTAGAAGATTACTTTTAGTTAGATAAGTGGAAATAATATAGCTTACTAGTAGTTTTCCCTAGTAAGATCTTATTATCTATAAGAGTAAGCCTTAGAATAGTATTACTAATTAGAGTAAGTCTTTTATTTCCTTATTGCTTCTTATTATTTATTAGGGACTTAATATTAGCCCCTACTACTATAAGAGCTTCCTTTAGTAGTTTAGGATTATAAAACTTATACTAGATAATTCTCTCTATAACTTATTACCCTTACATTATAATAAGGATAGAAAATTCTTAGAGAAATATTATAAGTAATTCTTATAAATATATTAGGGGACCTTATATTTTAAAAGTTATATTAATATAGCTAGATGCTCTTAAGCGATTATACTATTACTCTCCTAAATAAACTAATTAAGTATTTATTATAGATAACTCCTTATCTTCTAATAGGAGTTTAGATGTAGCTATAGTATTTATATAGTTATCTAATTTAAAGGCTAGATTAATATCTCTGAGCTAAGTATTTTAGAGATATTAGATATAAATAATATTATATTACTTAGATAGTGATTTAATAGGCCTAACTTATAAGGTAAACTTTAATAAGGGCCTAATATAGTAACCTTAAATTAGCTAAGTTATAATATTTAGTAGGCTTTCACTCTATAGCCCTATATTATCTAGGGAAAGGTAATATTATAGCCTAAAAGAACCACTCCTTACTTCCCTTTACTATTTAGTATACTATAAATACTATATAATATAGTAGGTACTACTATTAATATTAATATAATACCTTAGTAAAAGCTTAAATGCCTATATTCTACTATAAAGTTTATCTCCTGCTCTACTATAAAGTTTAAGAGGTATAGGGTGCTAGGTAAAATAAAGGTTATCTATTACTAGATTTAATATTCTAATTTAAGTTCCTTCTTAGCTCCTAACTTATCTACTAACGATTATTATAGTAGGAGATTTAGGTGATATACTACCTACCTTTTATACTATACTATATACTTATGCTTTAGTAAGGTATAGTATACCTATTAGATAATCCTATACTAGTTAAGCTTTAGCCTTATAGCTAATATAATATTATAGATATAGTAAAAGTTATTAGACTATTTAATTATTCCTAGAGTTAATATATACTAGTTCCCTTATAGTCGCGTGTAGTAGCTATAGAAGTAGAACTAAATAGCTACTTATAACTACTACTATTGCTAGATAAATAGGATTTATCTATTATTAGTATAAGTATAATACTAAGTTTATTTAAAAAGAGTATACTAGAATAGTACCTCGTTTTCTATTCTTTTTAACCTATAGGAATTTAAAACCTAAATTATTACTACATCTAGCACTAATATACCCGTAGAGGTATAAGACCCCCTTTTCCCCACTTAAATTCTATATAGTTAAATTAATTCACTAAATATTTTATATTAAACTAGCTTTGATTTTCCCTATCGGATAGGCTTTAATCTAGGTTATATTAGTATTATTATAAGCTATAAAGGCTATTATATGATTAATAGACTACTTAAACTCCCTATATTAGAGTGATCCACTAATGTATAAAGCAGGCGCTATATTAGCTATTATAAAACGCTAGAAATGTAATTTATTAGTGAGGTTTAATTAAGTTATCTTAGATTAGAAGAAGTATAAAAGTAGAGTTTTAGGGCTTAGTTAGTTAATTCTAAGATAGTATATTACACTAGAATATTATCTACCTTCTATTTTTATACGCTATCCGCTTTCCGTTTATATATAATCTACCTTTTATTTCCTTTAATCTAATATACACTTAGCTTTAGTAATTATAAAGAGTAGTAAGTACTATATTATTTATACTAATATCCTTTCCTATAATTATAAGAGCTCCTTACGCTAGGTAATATACACTAGTAGTCTAATTTTTATCTATTTATTATTATTATCTTCTTTAATAGAGGAAAATTAGTAATATAATACCTTAAATTCGAAATTACTTTATTAGCTATAGGTCTAAAAAAGCAGTCTATAGTGGTAAATAGCTAAGTCTTATAAGTAATCGCTCTATTTAAAATATCTTATAATATAATTATATTAACTTATATATTTTAGGCTATATATAAGTTCTATTATATAAATATTATCTTATAGCTTAACTTTAAGTATTTATTATTCTACACTAGAACTATATCTTAAACTCCTATTAATAATCTAAGCTACTTATATAATAATATTAATATAGCTTAATATATCTAATAAGACTATATATATTATTATATATTTTATATATATAAGGTCTTATAAATATCTACTATTTAATAGCTTAGATCCTTAAGAGTAGTAATATTTAGAATTTTTAACTTATTTAGAATATTATACTATAGCTCTTAAGTATAGGCTTAATAACCTTATACCCTTAATGCAAAAGAAACTAAAAAGACTTAGTACTAATATTACTATATTAAAGTTCATCGCTATTATAGAGGATATATACCTATAATTAATATTAAGTGATACTTAGTTTTCATCCTTTATTAATAATTATATATAGTAAGCTTTAAATAAGTTTAATGTATATATTAATAAGAAGATATTAGGAGAGCTAGAAGAAAGAAAGACTATTACTTTAATAATTATAAGAAATAGCCTTATATAGATAGAGGCTATCTATATATAAGTTTCTTAGGGAAGATTAAGAAGTCTGAAGCTTACCCTATCTAATATATTAGGGGAGGATTTAGAGTTTTAAATAGGCTATTTTTAACTAATAAGTTTTTTATCTTTATTAGAGCTTGCCTATAATAGTGACTCTATAACCGAGATCTAGTTCTCTAGACTAGTCTGGAAGTATAGCCTCTGACAAAACGAGCTAAAAAGGGAGACAAGTATCGCTACCGAGCACTCCGCTGCCTCTGCGTGATGGTGGCTTCGTGACTCATGACCAGTCGAGGGCAATTTATATATTAGTTATGAGGTTTAGGAGCACCAAGGGCATTACGGCGGGAAGCGGGAATAAAATTGCCGAAAGTCCTTCCAAATACGTCTTGCGCTTAGAAGCTCTGGCCCGGTTCCGAGAGCGACTCAAAGAGTGAGGGTGTTATCGAGACCTACAAGCAGCACCGTTGTTTCCAAAAGAGTGCAAGCACAATGAGCATCTAATCGGACCAATCACATGGCAGTTTTTCTCGAACCGGAAATCCTTTTCTAGTGTAGGATTAAACACGCAGTAGTATTGCCTGCAGCCGGTCGAGTAGTCCATTTGCGAACTCTTGAGTTCACATATAGCAGTCAATTCCCCACAGCGTTCCCCCCTAGCTTACATAGTAATGCTTGTCCATCTTGTTGTTGATGGCCCGTCAATTAGAAAGTGATTTTGGTGTTCTACGCTACGTGTGGCTAGCTTTGCGTGCTATCACACACATAAGTGTCAATCCTCAGCCAATCGTATTGTGCATGTGAGCTTATCGACATCATTACTAATTGGCCCAGACAACTCTCTTCTTCATCCACTCTCCTCTTCATTCACCACAACTCTTCTTTTCAATCTCTCGATCATCGAAGAATTCAATTCTCTAGCTTCATATCACCGCTTAAACTCTAGTTCGTATACCTCTTCAGTACAGACAATAGTGGTAGCTATATGCAAATGGAAGATAGTACGTAAGATTTAAAGAAAATCTGATAATTGATTGATTGATTGATTTTATTTCGTATGTATGGTGTAGTCATTTAAACAATCATGCCCGCATAGCCGGGCCCGGCGAATAGCCGCTGATCTGCTCTGCCCCACCCTTTGGTGCCACTATTGTGCCTAGAAATGGACAATTTTATCGTCGAAGAAGATGGAGCGTGAGGCCGATTTAGCCGTTCTTTCTGAACTCAAGAGTTCGCAAATGGAGGTGCTACCACTCTGGTAGCTGCAGGCAAAATGACTGCTTGTCCTAAACTGGAAAGACATTTAGTGTGCCCAATAGACGCCAAATTTGGGCGTCAGTAACCACATTCGCCTTAGTCAATGAGAAATGCCTTGAGGAACGAAAGGTGAGGCACTTGCGTTGGCGTTTTGCTGTCTAACAAGCGGGGTTATTGCCTTGTGGCTCAATCGGAATGTATCGCCGCCCGCGTTTCGGCTGCGTCGATGCCTCTTTTTCTATCTTGCGCCTTTCAATGCGGCTCAAAAAGGCATCGACGTCCTCTCCCCGTTCGTCCTCTGGCGTGTTGTTGCAATGATCCAGAAGAATCTGACATAGCTTGTACGACCAACCAGCTCGTCCGTGAAGTTGTTCGTCAGGTGCAAGGGGATACGAGTCCAGAGTGTCTCCACGCGTGGCTCCGCCGATGGAGCGCCGTGCTGAAGCAGTAGATGGATAATCCCAAGCTGGGCGGCCGCACCCTCATCGTCCTGGCTCTCGTCGTAAGGGCTTGTCTGTCCGAGGAGGTCGTTGACTCCGTACTTGGCTAGTGGCTGCCGTCGGGCGCGCCGCCGCGTGCTGGGCGCGGGCTTGATATTCATCCCCGCCTCGAGGAGCGGGGGTAGTAGCTTCAGCAGGACGGGATAGCTGACGCCCCCTGGTTGACGCCAGAGAAATCTGCCCAGATCGGAGTTGGCGCCGCGGCCGAGGAGGTGTCGTAGCATCTGCACGGCCGTCTCGACGTGCTCTGCAAGCTCTCGGCCTCTGAGAGATAATACAGCCCAGAGCATACGACTTGCTCCTTCTACCGTCAGGTGGTCAGAGAACATCGGCAACGCGAGCAGCTCCCAGGCCGACTGGAACTTCGATGCGGACAGAAAAGCGCAGAATATGTCTTCTGATACTTCGGCGCCAGGTCGAATCAGCATCGCGGCGAACCCGGAGGCATCGGATGGGCAATTGAGCTGGTAACGTCTAACAGTTCTGTTAGGTCAACCTCTACGTACCGCCCTGTCAGAAGCCGATCTGCTAGTTCGGCTAGCCCGAGCGTGCACACTAGATGGAGGACGGTGGGTAGATCTTGGGCGTTATGTTCTCGTAGGTCTGGATCAGCATGGTTGGCGAGCAGTAGAAGCGCAGTGGGTACGCGGTTTCCTAAGACCGCCAGGATAAGTGCCGTGATTTTCGATCCCGGTATGGGCGTATTAACGCTAGCCCCTTGGTCTAGCAACCATGCTGCAATATCGACCAGGCCTTTCAACGCGGCGACATGGAGAGGTGATAGAGAGGGAGAGTGCACGAGTTACATCCATATCCTGTGTGGAAAAGCCAACCAGCTTACTCCACCAGAGTCGAGCCAGCTAGCAGCGCGAGTGGTTGGGCGGCATTAGTTGAGGGCAACAGGATCTAGGTGACAAAATCGTGACACCTTATCTAGAATGGTGAGAGAAGTCGCCTGAGTCCCTGGCTTGTTTTGATCGGCAGATTCCACGGCTTTAACGATAGCAGACCCCGTCCACCGATTTCCGCGTAAGGCATGTAGGCGGTAAAAAGCGGCTCCAGCAACTCCCAACACGTCCGGCTTGCGCGACTAAAGCTGTAGAGCTCACAGCGTGTTAGATGTTCGCCGATCATGCAGACCAACTCGTGAGGAAGCTTCTCCATCTCGTTGGTGGTTTTCGGGACCTCAGATCCCATTGCTTCATGAAGGAGGTGTTAAATTATGGCTTGGTTTGTGTTCTCCAGCGCTAAGTTAGATGTAGCGATGGACGAGCGTCATCACGTGCCTCTCATGTCCAATAAAAAGCATTCATGTGAACGTTTATTGTGGGGGTGGATTTTAGGTTGTGTAAACTCAATGGGATAATAGTTTCGAAAATGGCCTAATAGCACTACAAAGAATTTCACAACAGCGAGAACGAATTGTTGAAACAACAGCCGCGCAAAAGAACAAGCACTCCTGCCTGCGGTCATAATGACTTTCGACGGGCCATAGCATCTTCCCCTACGATGTTATGTGTCCCTCGCAGCCTCATCGCGGCCGCAGGCGGGAAAATGACCCCCGAACCCTACTGGCAATTGGATACGGTTCGTTCTTTCGTTTCCATGGTAAGCGGAGTCGGTTAATCACCGCTGGTGAGATGTAATTTTCCGGCGCTCCACAGTCTATCCATGCTGTGAGCCGGTTCCCCTCGATCTCAATGTCCACGAGGATGTTGAGCGAGCTCTGGGCGTCTATTGCTCCTAGGGTCCTCTGGTTCATTGTGTCGCGCTGTAGCCCCATTACAGGTGGTTTCTGTCGTTTTTTGCCTGATTGACTCGTTGTTCCAGTTCATGGTACCAGTTCGCGTTCTTTGGTATGTACGAGAAGAGTTCTTCAAGGGTGCTAGGTTGCCATGCATCCTTTGGCACATATTGGTGGAACTTCTTCATCCATTCATTGACCTCGCATAGTTCGGTTACTGATGCTGTTTCTTCGTCGTCCGAATGGTTCTTCGCCCATTCTTTTTCGTCAGTGGAGGTTATTCCTTGTTCATCCGTTTCGCTTTCGTCTTCGCTGTCCGTGGGAGATGATACGCCTTCTTCGCGGCGTTGACGAAGTTCTTCTTCCCAATGCTGGAATTGTTCTAGATGCAATTCGGCGGCATTTACGTTGTCGTCGCCGTGTCTGGCCAGGTCCAATGCTTCGTGCATGGTTTCCAGGTGGTGCATGCATGCCCAATCGTAGCACCGTTCGATCTGGCGCTCGCATCTCCATCCGGCTTGGTCTTCTCGATTCTTCTTCTCATGCCAGAGTTCGATCTTGGATCCGGGTGGATCCTACATTCAGGTTCTCGACATAGGTCGGTAGGTCCTCAATGTCACACTCAGTGGGGTATTCTTCCAGATCTTCCTCAAAAATAGTGTATCGTTCAACCATTCGGCGTCTTATTTTAAAGCGTCGAGTCTGCTTGGCGGTGTATCTGGGAGGTATCTTCCCATCTGGCCATGGAAAGGTGTCGTACTTTACTTTTTGTTGCCAGTGTGTTGTACACCATATATCGTAGCATGTCATCCACGAGTCTTCGTAATGATCTTCCTTCGTCTGGTTTTTCAAGCAGCTGGGTATTTCCGCTAGACTGCTGGGAAATCTGATGACATCGATGGCCAGCAACCGCCAAAGAGAGCGAGGTGCTGGCTTGGTTTGGTGGCTTAATACCCAAGCTGGAATGCTGGCGACCCGGCGAAAACTATTAGCGCAGCCGAGGACTCCATTAATTGGCTCCACAGGCAAACGCAGTATGGATATCGGCTTTATTAACAGTGAAATCACTTATAATCCTGACTTTGAAGATTCGAGATATTATTAGTCACACATCCTCGTTGCCGGCGAACTGAAAAGCAACCCGAAGGCGGATACAGCGTCGATTGCATGGATTGATCTTGTAAGGTACGTAAGAGAGGTGTTCGGCGCCCAAGAGAACCGTCGCTTCGTACTGGGCTTTACTCTCTGCGGGTCTCTTATGAGGGTATGGGAGTTTGACCGGCTTGGGGGGATCGCCTCCGAATAATTCGACATTAATAGTAAGGATGGTGGGCTACGGTTTGTGATGACCATCTTAGGATATCTGCGGATGAATGAGGAGATGCTTAGGTTTGACCCCACTATTAGAATATTCGGCGACCACAATATATCGACATCGAATGAAACGATAAAACAGAGCGTCTCATCATTGACGAGGTTATAAAGTAAGCACGTTGCGTTGCTGGTCGGGCGATAGTCTGTTGGAGAGTATATCGCAAGGAGGATCCGCAGACGCCGCTTGTTATCAAGGACTCATAGCAATATACGGATCGGGATGAAGAAGGCGAACTCCTCTGAGAGGTGACTTAGAAAGGTGTTACTAACGTTGCCCGATATTACCACTATGAGACCGTTCGCGTACGAGGTGCTAATAACGACATTCAACAAAACATTCGAAAGGGCCTGGACGTCACGGAAGCCGCGAATTATCGGCCAGGACGTGCGAAGCTGCAGTCTAGTACAAATGTATCTATTTCCCGCAAAGGGCGAAGTACTAGCGCTGGCGTGAAGCGGCCATCCAGCGATGCTGACGCCACTCTACCGCCGATTAAGCGATCCTGTCTAACGTCTCCAACAAAGGCAAGCGGCGAACGACCACCAAACCGGGTGCACCGGCGAGTTATTCTTTGCGACTATGGAAAGCCAATCTACAAGGCAAGCTCCGCCGTGGTGCTGCTTTCTGCGCTGGAAGGCTGCGTCGAGGGACACGAGTTGTTGTACAATGCCGGTCCTCACAGGGACATTTCTATTAACAACCTCATGGTGAATGAGGATGATAGTAACCCTTCCTGGCGAGCTTTTTTGATTGACCTGGACCTTGCTATAATTGAGGAACGAGTGAGTGAGTGCACCAGGAGCCAAGGGAAAGACGGGCACGAGGGCTTTTATGGCAATTGGGGCGCTTCTCGGCGAGCAGCATTCCTTCATGCACGACCTCGAATCATTTTTCTGGGTGTTATTCTGGACATGCATTCACTGCAACGGACCGAACGAAAGCATAGTCGTGCCAAGGTTTGAGAAGTGGAATTATGTCGACATGAGGGAGCTAGCCGAGCTCAAAAAGGGCCAAGTATCTCATGAGAGAGATTTCATCAGAGCGACCGAAGAGAATTATAAGTTATTAAATTTATAGCTATTTCAGGCTAAATTTGACTTTTTAATAGATTTTTAAAAACACCGGGTTTAGCGTATAAATAGAAAGTGGAGCACTTGCTTATCAACCACGTTATGTCAAATGCGCTGAAGGTGTTTATGGACCTAACCAATCAATAGTGCCGGACCCACAGAAGCTCCTATTGCAGCGCCGTTCCTTTGGGGGCCGAATAGATAGATACAACCCCGCTTAGGCAAGGCGTTTTCCAGTCCTTTCTTCCTTTCTCTTCCCCACGACGCCACGATGTCTTTATATGAGTATTCCAAGCTAGTCGACGACGATATTCGAATACTCACATTGCTACCTGGTCAACCTGAGTCTGACATCAAGATCATAATTCACCATGCGTCACTCAGGGCCACGAGAGAGGAATCTCGTCAGCACAGGCCTTTGAATGACCTGCAGAAAAGCTTGCCATCCGGTTGGGTAGCAGAAGAAACCGCCGAGGACCGATGCCTATTCTGGAATGAAAATTTGCATATCTCTTCGTGGGCTCACCCTAATGGAAGTGTTACTCGATCGCTGCATGGTTCTCCTGCCAATGATATAACGTGTTTCCCACAATATGAGGCTCTATCATACACTTGGGGCAGTACAAGTAACCCGCAAACCGTCCAGGTCCTCTCCCAAGGTGGCTTATGTGAAATCAGGACACTTCATATTGGGGAAAATCTTGCCAGCGCCTTCAAATATCTCCGATATCCTGATACGGCTCGGACACTGTGGGCTGACGCAATTTGCATAAACCAAAGCAGTATTTGTGAAAAGAATATTCAAGTTCCTCGCATGGCCGATATCTTTCGCTCGGCAGTCCGTGTTGTGATCTGGCTGGGACAAGAATCGGACAATAGCACGCTTGCGTTATCCACGCTAGACTACTTGGCCACACAGGTCGAAATTAACAAGGCAAACTGGGTTCGACCTTCGCCTGGATGCGTGCACCAAGACTGGTTTGATTCGCTCACCGATATGCCATATGACGACAGTACTTGGCAGGCTATTGCAGACTTGGCAAACCGCCCCTATTTCAACCGACTATGGGTTGTGCAAGAGATCCATCTCTCCAACCACAATGCAGTCGTGCAATGCGGAATATATCAGATGACATGGAAACGATTCCGCAGGGCAGTTGTATGTCTTATGTGGAAGAGACACATCCCTCAATGTATTTCCTCGAGCAAGCTCCCAAAGCTTGGCACATTCTGCTATAACTTCGAAGGCCTGAACTTCGCTACCTTGCTCCAGGTGGTCACACATCTAGAATGCTTCAACCCTCATGATAAGGTATACGGGCTTCTTGGACTCGCTTCGTCTAACTTGCTGCCTCACATTCGACCAGAGTATGCTCTGCCCGTGGCAACAGTCTATTGCAGTCTGTTTCTGGGCTTGAAGTACCACTTGCAGCGGCTACACTTCGAATTCTGTAGCTTGCGAACAAGTCGGCCTAGGCAACTTCCTTCGTGGGTTCCCGATTTGTCTGGTAACTTAAGCGAGTTGCTATCCCGAGCGGCGGGGCTGGTATCTGGGATGTCTTGTGCTGAGGCAACTTATCGCGCCCCTGACGTTCTTGAAGTGTGCGGCGTCAAGGTGGCCACTGTGCAAAGCAACAAAGGGACATATCCAGATGGCATAACTAAGCGGCTGACAGCACTCCACACTTGGAAGCCAGAAAGCTTGATGACAGGGATATACCCTACAGGGGAAAGCATCCTGGACGCGTTTATCACCACTCTTGTCCAGGGTAAACTTAGAGATCGGTTCCCCGCTATAGTGACTTGGTCCTCCCTTCAGGAATTAAAAGACAAACTCGCGGAAGTATTGGCGGGCTCTATGGGTTCTTCTGACGAGCCTACCAGAAATGTTGATATTAGTAGCTATGCCCATGAACTCCGGTTCCTCCCCGAACAAGCCTTTATCACTTGTAAAACGGGATATTTTGGCCTGAGCCATCGGGACGCAAAGCCAGGTAAGTAAATAACCCTGAAATAGCTTGACTGTACAGTCTGGAAGCTGAATATATGTAGGTGATATCGTATGTGCCTTTCTTGGCTGTAAAGTATTAGTTATTCTTCGTCCATCGACAAGGGGGTATTTTCAAGTTATTGGTAGTTGTTATCTCCATGGGTTCTCTAGCGCGGAGGCCTTTCTTGGCCCTCTCCAAGTGCCATGGGTCATGCTGTATAAGCCCGACTCCTGCGGAGTCCAAACTCCCTATTTCTTCAACAAAGACACATTGGAAGAGGTCCAGCAAGATCCTAGGTTAGACCAGCTACCTGTTGGGTGGGAAGCCATTCAAGAAGATAGGACAAAGGACGATCCTCAATTGTTTTCGTGGTTTCGGAACAAGGTTACTGGAGAGACTATGAATTCCGATCCTCGTATGCTCCCAGAAGCTTTGCGTGATCGAGGGGTTAACTTAGAGCTATTTAAACTAGTCTGAGACTTAGAGTAGGAGTTGCGAGAACGCTTGTCACACGAAAAAATATTGAATCAATTTCTCTTAGCTATCTGGAACTGATCTCGTCATCAACCAGGTTATAATCCATTATCATTGTAGAAAAACCTTTGCTCCAGTAATCATCGTCAGGTCACCTCTCAGGAGTCCACGGGGTTAGATAGGATGCTCGCATGGTGTTCTCCGTCCCAGCCTGACTCGCTTTGGGACACGTTAACCCTAACCTTAAGCTGAAGCTACGATATTGTTAAGAGAAAGCTCGACATTGACAAATTGATGTGTCAAGGGTGGAGAACCTAGTAGTCAGACAGATCTATTACGCCCGGTAGGCCACCGCCCATAGGGCTCTAAAAACTAAAAATACATACATTTCGCCAATTGATGTCTTAATCTCGCAGAGCCCCTATGTTTCCCGCCTTGTTCTTCTCTGTCTCTTCTTTGTTCTCCTTCTAGATCCTCGTATCGGTTATTGGGAGCAGATCAACTTGAAGCCCAATTCCTCCAAGTGTTCAGTTTCCTAATCAAGCAGGTAGACTGGAAACACGGCGCATTTCCACCTTTGTACCAATCAAAATCTCCATATTCTTACCCTAAATTTCTCCGCTGGAAATGCGCCGCATTTCCGTCTTGGCCTGTAAACCGAGAACACGAAACGCGCCGTGTATCTTCCACGAGGGCCCGTGCCAACCTTGTAAGAGACCGATCTCTTACACATCGCAGCAGGCAGTGACTTCCGTTGTGTCAATTAGGAGAAAGCAGCAATCAAGCTCTCTCTGTGTGTCCTTGCCTAAATGTGGCCCTTTAGAGAGTATCTAGTCATCTTAGTGCCTTCGCAACTTTATGAACATGACAGGCCTACTGTACAAAGGACTGCTTAAGCATTGCCACCTGCGTAAGTTCTGCAGGTGCGATGTCAGACTTCAAGGGCAGGTGATTGGCTATCTCTCGAGCTATTATTGTGCACTAAACTTACAGCGGACGCAAAGTCGCGTATGAGAAATGCCGCGTACTGGTATTGTAGCCGACCGAAATCAGTTTGCATGGTGCACTAACAAAAGTTGACAACCTATAATCTAAAATTGTTTCCAAGTGTTCAATTTGCTAACATTAAATCCGTGATTAGCTTGCGCGCTTCCAGTGTTCTATCCACCCTTAGATGCCTTCGCCTGTAAGTCCAGTGTAGCACTGCCTTAGGTAAAGCTATAGGGTATCACTAGTAGCGATATATAACATATAGGTCATTAAGTAGTGCCCTGTACCCCCCTAATAGCCACCTTAAGAGCCAGGGCTAGTTAGGTTAAGAAGAGAGGCTATAATATTTATAGATAGTTAGTTTAAATATATATTTATATTAAAAAGAGCTAGCTATAAAATAATTTAATCGCCTAATTATATAATAACTATACTTACTATATTAGTGAAGGGTAAGTAAGTAGGGGGAGATTAAGGAGAGTATTAATTAATAATTCTTAATATAGTAAAAGGCTAATACTTATAATAATAAACTAGCTTATAAAGACTATATCTTAGCTATAAAGATATTTATCCTATACTTCCTAGCTATTAACCTCCTCTTTCTCTTTCTATTTTACCTATTTAGGGTAATAGGCCTAAGGGGTTATTAATTATATATCTCTACTAGTATAAAGTCTATAATTATATATATACTAATATCTCTATTATATAGTATATTATATAGCTCTATATTATAATAGAGAACTTTATACTAATATAGTTAACTAAGTATAATAAGAATCTTATTAGCTATATTTATACTAACTTCCTCTAGTTCCCTTAATATAGGCTTTCCTCTATAACTAAGAAATATAAAATACCTATATACACTACTATTATAGTAGTAGGGCTTAATAAGATCTATATTACCTAGGTAGACTAATATAGCCTTACCTTAGAGTTCCTAAATATAGTTATAAATCTTATTTTTATAATATAAATAGTATATATTTAGTGCCTCCACCCCTTTTATAATAAGTATATAACTATATAATAATAAGTATACCTTAAAGAGTGATCCTTATAAACCTAATAAGTAGAGAGGTATATAGTTAGTACCCTTCCTGCGATTAATAGCTAGTTAATCTTAAGTAAGGTAAAGAAAATTATTTTAGTTAATATATATACTACTATAGTATATATTATTTAGATATTCTATATCTAATAGACCGCTAAATATAAGCCTAAGGAGATATTTATATATATAGTAAGGTTAGTCTTAGATATTACCTTAGTATAAATCTAGACTTCCTTTTTACTCTTAGTTCTTATTTAGCTTAAAATTTATTAATATAGCTAAGATACCTCCTTAATTAGATACTAGATCTAGTATTAGGTATAAGCTCTTATTACTATTACTATCCTTATCGCTACTATTATTATTTAGCTACTATATTAGATCCTAAGGTAGTAAGTATTAGGAGTATATCTAGATTAAAGAGTATATAAAGCCTTTCTAGTGTTATAGCTTATAAGGCGTTTTATACTTTAGTTTCTAATCTATAGCTAG